GCTGTAGCGGGAAGTATATTGGCCCATACAGTAATCAAGTAATTCTACCAAGGACACGTGTCAGTCGCCGGAGTTTGCAGATTGGCCGGTCAATCGTCTCCGCTCTCGCCCTCAACTCCCCCGCTATAGGAAGCGGTCAAGCCTCGCAAGGAAAGGAACAAGGACCCCCCCCCACCCGCAAAGGAACATACACACCCCAAGTCGATCAAGATATCGTCTCCTCCGTTCGCTGGCCCTCCTGATCATCTTCCTCGATCTGCTCGATCGGTGGCAGCGGGGGTGCTTCGTCTTCGCCTGCAGCTTCCGATGCGGGCGCGCATTCCGACGGTGGCGAGAGTTCTTCCGGCAAATCCAGTTCTACTCGCGTGAGAGGCGTGCCAAACGGTACAATTGAGGAGAGGATACCCGAAAGGTAAATTTGACTTTTAAATAAATTATTTTTTTTATAAAATTTAATTTACTTTTATTTAAATATATAAAAATATATATAAAAATTTCAAAAATTAATATATATATTTTAATATATTTAAATAAATATAATATAAATTAAATTATTTTTTTTATAAAAACTAATTTTGTTATTATTTAGGCCACGTTTACACTGTTCAAAAGAAGGCATGGATGGACACTCGTGTCTGGTCATTTTATCTACGCTCTCTTTGTACTACATTATTACTGAGCCATCCGTTCTTCTGGTGGACAACCTGGATTGCCACGTCTCAGCAGCCTCGGAGGCTATTGTAGCGGGCGAGTTGGTATTGATGCTTCAAGCTTTGCCTAAAAATGCTACTTCGGTGCGCCAACCGCTAGACGTTGGAGTGATGGGCCCTTTAAAGGCCAAGCTACAAAGTCTGTGGATGGAAGAAAAGGGCAAAGCAATGACGGCGCACGAGAAGAGGGTGTCCACCATCAAGAGAACCATCCAAGCGTGGGAGTCGATCAAGGATACAACCGTTAGAAAAGCTTTCAACAAAGCCCTCAACACTACGTTTTAGGTGCACAATAAATTGCCTCCAATTTTGCCTTAAAATTTACTCACTTAGCAGATAAATCGTAAATATTTTGTCCAATTAAATATCCTATACTCTCTTTGCCTGGTTTTTACCCTTATCCTGCTTAAAATTCAGCTCAACCTTTTTTTTACTGGCAGTTGCATTTTGTCCGTTGCTGTAGCTCCTTAGAGCACAGTACCCGGCATGTAACGTACCAGTCCGACACGGTGTTCTCGCTGACCTTGGCCATGTGAGCGGCTTGGGGATGAGACGCTCTCATACATCACGCGAACATTATGCACAGGACTTGGGGAAGCGTGAGCTTCATCTTTGAGAACCAAGAGTTAACGAAGATACTGTGCTGCTCTTGCTAGGCTTTCGAAGAAGTCTGTGATACAGCTAATAAATCTGTTTGGGCTAACAATTAAACTAAAAAAAACTTTTTTTTGCTACAGTAGTATGCTTTTGAGCTGTGCTTTAAAGGAATGTGCTGACAAGCCTTAACTTATGTGAATGGATTTTGCTATTTTAAAGATTTTTTTTATTCGGGCGAAACACAACTTTGTTACGAAAAGTGGTGATAAGAATTTCAGCACAATCGTGAAACGATATTACATTCATGATTTTCATTGACATCCATTCTCTATATGCTCAAACACTATGTACCGCATGCAAAACAAACTATCAGGACATATTCATCGCGTCCTCGGTGCTACAGCTTCCAACTTAGTCCAGCTTGCCAACACCGAAGTTGCCCGTGGTCTGCTTCCACTCGTTCTCCAAGTTTTTCGTTTCGGCCAGCTTTCTAGATTGAGATCCGAAATTCGGCTCCGAGCCACCATGGTACGGCAGCGAGCCACCCCACTGCTGCTCTTGCTGAACCTGCTGCTGCTCAGATCCACTCGTAACAAAAGACTCCTCTTGGGCCGATCCGCCCGTCTGGGAAGCCTGCTGCTCCGAGTCGTCGCTGGTCTGCGACGACTGCTTCTGCTGCGATCCGCTCGACTGGGACGGCTGCTCTTGCTGCGATCCGTCTGACTTGGATGACTGCTGCTGCTGCTGGGAACCAGTCGTCGTCTCGGTGATATCCGGCTTGTAATTCACGACAGTAGAGACACCCTTGATCGTCTTAAGCGCGTTCCCACCGTTACGAGACGCGAAAGTGCCGCTGTCAACGAGCGTATTAGCCGCGCATGAACGCCCCAGGTACTTGGAACATTCATCGCTGTTGGTCGCAGCATAAAGAGAGCCGTCCGAACCAGCAAATAGAGGCTGCTTGGTGTTGTCGAAGTAGTTGCCCTCGGCCAGAACATACCCGTTGGCACCGAGTTCGAACGAGTGGCCCGTGTTGTTGCCCCAGTAGTTGTTAGCCACATGCACGACGACGCGCTCGTTCGGGTTGCCACCGATCTTAGGCGAGCGGCCGGAGGTGCCGTGCACGTAGTTGTTGAGCATGCTGACACCAGTGTTCTTACCGTAGAACAGGAAGGTCCAGTAGTGGTGTCCGTCACACGTCGCAGAGTACTCGGTGTTTCCGTCGAAGTCGGAGTTACTGATGGTCATCGAGGCCACACCAGCCTTGTTCGTGACAACCATTTGACGGCCGACACGGGACACCTTGATGTGGTCGAGCCAAATCTTGTTGAGTGGAGTGGTGGCTTGCTTACCCTGCATAAAGATTGCGTCACCGCCCCATACCACGTGCGGGTTCAGCTCTGTGATGTGGATGTTCTGCAGAATGATGTTGTCACCGTCTAGCATCAGACCTTTGCCCTTGATGACACCGCTCTTACCAATGCCACGGATGGTCTTGTTGCCCGTCACAGTCATGCGCTTGCGAGCGGCGTTGTCGTAGGTGATCTTGACCTCGGTGCCACCGGTGCAACCGCCAGTGTTGGCCATGCTTCCACCCGAGATGATCACATCTTGACTCTTGTAGCCGTTCTTCTTGGCCATACACTCGCGAGTGTAATCGGGTCTGCAACCCGTCTCAGTAGTGGTGCCCTCAGTGCCACGGAAGTCGAAAGTCTTGTTTAGCACAATAACAAGAGGGTCGTTCGAGGCGAGATAGTTCACCAGCTCACTGTTGGAGGTCGGGTACACGGTCTTGCCGCCTGCTCCGCCAGTGGTGCCGGCAGCGATACCAGAAGGCGAACCAACAGTGAAGGCGTTAGCGCTGTTGGCAGCAAGAGCAAGCATGGCGGCGAGAGCGAACTGAAAGCGAGCCATTGTGCAGAACGATAGTTGTGCTTGTTGTTCTGGGTGTGGTGCGCTTCACAAGGCGATTTTGAAAATGACTGTGGTATAAGAGTTTCCGCTCCGTACGGGTAGTTTGATGGTCAGTAAAAAGAGTTGGAGGAAGCGCACTCGTGTTTTACAGTGATTCTCGCCGGTCGAGACGTCAACAGAGCTGACTCAACGTCCAGAGTAATTTGCTGCACAATCTCTGTTGCAGTCAAATCTTAGGTATGGTTCCATTCCAGCGGCTGATTCATTCTTGTGTGGCGTCGAGTGTACCGTACAGGTCACCACCACCTTAATCCTGTGTCGTCACGTGAGCACAGTGCCAGGTTGAGTGCCAACCGTAAACGAAAGCAGGTACAGAACGCAGACTGATGTCAGTGATTCAGAATCGCCGTATGCTACGCCAGAAGCATCCGTAGCTTCGACAAGCACGTATATCCGCGCATACACTCTCCGTTTTGAGGAATTTACAAGTCTCAGCGAGGGTTGTTGTCCAGTCGGGGTATTGTTGCTCATTTATTGATAGTCCTCAGAAGGATGCCATTTTCAGGACAGTGGCAACTTGCCACAGCTGTTGGGTTATTCACCATCGCACTCATATTGTTTAATGTATCTCTTGCCCGTTTAACGAACGTGACTGGATGTTGTTTGATCGTCTTTTCAACAAGAGTGTCAGTCCGTCGTAGAGCACCCGCCCGATTCAGCAATTACTGTATCGTTGGAAATATACGATTTGGATCCCACTCTTCAGTACGAGCAGTGGTCTTACAGTACTAAAGCAAGAGTTGATACCCCATCTGGCTCAAGTCCAATTTAGACGGTCACGATACTTACGCTTCACACCTCAAGTATTACAACCAATTCTAAGAGTTTTTGAACTATTGAGTCAGCGTTTTCCAACTTCGTTCATGCAACAGCAGTCAGCAGCAGCAGTCGTCGCAGACCAGTGAATTGGAATAGCCGCAAGCTTTTTGGATCGACCCAAGAGGAATCTTTCGTTTTTGAGTGGTTCGGAGCTGCACCAGGTTCAGCTGGAGCAGCAATAGGGAGACTGCAGCCGTACTATGGTTTCTAGGAGTCGAATCTCGTTTCGTTTATGCCATTTAACGACCCAACGAGTATACTAAAGGAGTAGAAAATCTGATACATTTTCAAGCAGGTCCGTAAATTTACAGTGCTAATAAGATACAAGTACCACAACAACGTATATGCACTTCTGGTGTAGTATTTCGGCAGATGTTGTTCTTATCGACGAATGACCAGCAACATTTCAGCCTCTACGGTATCTTGCAATGGGCACCAGCCGAAATCTTCGATCCAACTTCAACAAAATGCGCGACTAGTTTATTGAGCTTTCGTAAATTGTATTAATTCAGAGATACTGGTATCCCCATTCAGCTGTTCTCCCTGATCGCCGTCTGTGGCTCATAGTCTCGCTACAAATCCTATTTGCAGACAATCCATGATGCGAGATACCCGTCGGGTGCAGGTACGGATTAACCTTCGATCGACTGTTGTCAAGGATCCCCCCTTGCAGCATTACATGTAGTTCGTACGAAAGGAGCGCTAAGAAGTCCGCCACAGTGCTACTAATAACAAGGAGACCGCTGCAAGCTTTAATCACTTCGATCACCTTAATCGAAGCTTAATCACTTCATGTAATATAACCGATCCTGACATGAACGAAAAGTACGTTTATGAATACTTGAAGTACCTGAATATGAAAGTATGGCTTAACACGCCCGCCAGTTCAATACAAAGCGTTCTGACTTGAGTGTGATTCGCACGATTTGTTTCTACTCAATCTTTCTTCTCGTTGGCGGCGCTGATACTGTATCGGTTTTCTACAGCAAGGCTTTTGGGGACTACACACGACATGTTCGGTAGAGTTGCAGGGCAGCCGAGTATGAAAACGTCGAATCGCTTACTATCGCACAGGATGCAGCGTGACCCGAAACACACCGCACTCGTCGTCTCGCGACCAGGCAACGTCGTCCATTCTCTCGGTCATTAGCCGCATAATTCACTGCATCGTGACAGGACACCTCTTGCGGTTTACATGTTAATCTAAACCGGACTCAATGCATATTATTCAGTTGTTGAGCATTACTGGTATTAATACCTGAGGAGTGAAGCACACCGTAAGTATCGCGACCAGCTAAGGTGGAGTTGAGGCCAGCTGGGGCTCCATTGTTTCCACTCAAGATTTTAAACCAACGTTTGAGCTGTTTACGGGCGTAGATGCACTACTCTGTACTGTTACGTTAATACATTTGTTCTTGACCACCAGCTGATAAAACAGAAACCTCCCCTCTATCTCCAAGCGGACTGGAAAACATAGTTTTGCAAACCAGTGCTCTTCATAGATTTTTTGTAATGTTACTATGGGTAGTAGAAGACAAGTGTAGGACCAACCGTGATGCATGTCACTGCCATGGAGACAGCGTCCTCTTAAAGTTTACTTAAAAAGGAAATACTAGTAAATGAGCAACGATTCCCAAGGTCGAACGATGAAGTTAATCTTCCCTGCGACTTGTAGCTCGGATTGGATTGCCGACAACATAAACTTGTTACTACATCTATACTACAGCACTATACTACGGTATTAGAAAGCATGTCCCAATACTGTACTCTTAGTTCTCCCTTGTAGGCGTGATAGGCGATGCGTATCCTTAACTCAAGACTCGGAGTATACATGTTTAGTTATACTGCAGGGAAAACCTTTCACTAATATGGATTACAACATCCAAGTCTTAATTGCCTCCTAAACTACAGATCATATACTCTACTATTTCTTTTTGTAAAAATGTTGTTCCTATATTGTGTATGATGTACTCGCTGCCACACATGATTTAATCAGCCCCTAGATAAGATTTGACATAAGCCAGATACAGAAGTACTGAATTAAAAAGTTGGTTTGGAAAGAATACTAAATAGTAATGAGTCAACATTGTTCCAACGAACATCGTTCAACGACATCCTTCCTCCAACATAGCACCAACATTCAAACAGTGAAACGGACCTCTTATCACATGGTCATTTTCAAAATCGCCTTGTGAAGCGCACCACACCCAGAACAACAAGCACAACTATCGTTCTGCACAATGGCTCGCTTTCAGTTCGCTCTCGCCGCCATGCTTGCTCTTGCTGCCAACAGCGCTAACGCCTTCACTGTTGGTTCGCCTTCTGGTATCGCTGCCGGCACCACTGGCGGAGCAGGCGGCAAGACCGTGTACCCGACCTCCAACAGTGAGCTGGTGAACTATCTCGCCTCGAACGACCCTCTTGTTATTGTGCTAAACAAGACTTTCGACTTCCGTGGCACTGAGGGCACCACTACTGAGACGGGTTGCAGACCCGATTACACTCGCGAGTGTATGGCCAAGAAGAACGGCTACAAGAGTCAAGATGTGATCATCTCGGGTGGAAGCATGGCCAACACTGGCGGTTGCACCGGTGGCACCGAGGTCAAGATCACCTACGACAACGCCGCTCGCAAGCGCATGACTGTGACGGGCAACAAGACCATCCGTGGCATTGGTAAGAGCGGTGTCATCAAGGGCAAAGGTCTGATGCTAGACGGTGACAACATCATTCTGCAGAACATCCACATCACAGAGCTGAACCCGCACGTGGTATGGGGCGGTGACGCAATCTTTATGCAGGGTAAGCAAGCCACCACTCCACTCAACAAGATTTGGCTCGACCACATCAAGGTGTCCCGTGTCGGCCGTCAAATGGTTGTCACGAACAAGGCTGGTGTGGCCTCGATGACCATCAGTAACTCCGACTTCGACGGAAACACCGAGTACTCTGCGACGTGTGACGGACACCACTACTGGACCTTCCTGTTCTACGGTAAGAACACTGGTGTCAGCATGCTCAACAACTACGTGCACAGCACCTCCGGTCGCTCGCCTAAGGTTGGTGGCAACCCGAACGAGCACGTCGTCGTGCATGTGGCTAACAACCAGTGGGGCAACAACTCTGGTCACTCGTTCGAACTCGGTATCAACGCGTACGTGCTGGCCGAGGGCAACTACTTCGACAACACCAAGCAGCCTCTATTTGCTGGTTCGGACGGCTCTCTTTATGCTGCGACCAACAGCGATGAATGTTCCAAGTACCTGGGGCGTTCATGCGCAGCTAATACGCTCGTTGACAGCGGCACTTTCGCGTCTCGTAACGGTGGGAACGCGCTTAAGACGATCAAGGGTGTCTCTACTGTCGTGAATTACAAGCCCGATACCAGCAATACGAAGAGCGATCCCAAGCAACAGCAGAAGCCGTCCAAGTCGAACGGATCGAAGAAGGAGGAGCAGCAGCAGCAGCAACAGCAACAGCAACAGCAACAGCAGAAGCCGTCCAAGTCGAACGGATCGAAGAAGGAGGAGCAGCAGCAGCAGCAGCAGCAGCAGCAACAGCAACAGCAACAGCAGAAGCCGTCCAAGTCGAAAGGATCGAAGAAGAAGGAGGAGCAGCAGCAGCAGTCTTCCAAGACGGGTGGCTCGGACCAGCAGCAGATTCAGCAGGGCCAGCAATGGGGTGGCTGGATGCCGTACCAAGGTGGTTCGGATCCGAGCTTTGGATCTCAATCTAGAAGGCTGGCTGTCGACACGAGAAACTTGGAGAACGAATGGAAGCAGACCACGGGCAACTTCGGTGTTGGCAAGTTGGACTAAGTGGGCGTTGTAGAAGCTATAGCACCGGGGGCACGATGAATGTGTCCTACTTTAGAGGATGAGCTTCTAGTAGTGTGTTTGCATAGTTGAGCATAGAGAATGGATGTCTAAATGAGAAATCGTGAATGTAATACCGTTTCTTCATCGTTGCGGTTGACTCTAGAATCATTAGTTTTAATCTTTGAACGTCGTTTGACGTTGTTTCGAATTCCGGTCAAACTTGGTTTAGGGAAATGACAGGGGACAGCAGTTTAGGGATCAAGCACTACCGAAATCGTTTGAATCGCTCCATTAATGGTCATAATGTCGCTTGATTTGGGCTCGTGTGTTCTTGCGTAATGCAGACTAACCAAATTTGTGGAACCAAACTTGTGGAATGAGAAGGGAAGAAACTCCAATTGTGTGTATGTGATAGGACTGCGGGAGTCCACATCTCTGTCTTGCGTCGTACTAAGCTCTTCTAAGCGAAAGAAGTAGAAATATTGCGTACACGCAGCGGGAACTGCAGTTTCAACACGTTGTCACATGGCCAAGCTTAATGGAGATCTGTGCATTCGGTGTTTTGGGCCATTTCCACGATACACTTTATGGTTTTCAATTCACAATACAGAACGATCGTAAGCACGCGCCCTGCTGAATTGATTGCCCGTATTCATCTCCGATTTAGCACCGCAGCATGGAAACCAATCTGGCTGCTTAAAAATCTGAACTTCGTATCGTAAAGCTATGTGGACCAGTAATACCACCTATTATCCAAAACATTCAAGATGATAGCCAAGGAAAGAAAGATAAGCTAGGCATTAAACGCCTAGCTGGAATAGCACTCCTCAACAAAATTTGTTGAGGTACAATATGTGGTAGAATTTGTAAGCTACATTTGAACTTTTGAAGTAGTATGGCATTACGGACCGACGGATGACCAGCAACATTTCGGCCTTTACGCAATTCTTGAGATGGGTACCAGCCGAAATCTCAGATCCAACTTGAACAAAATGGCGCGACTAGTTTATTGGATTTTCATAATTTGTATCAATTTAGAGATGCCTTTCACACTGAGTACACTTTCAGCTGCTTCTGCTGATCACCGTCTGTGGCTCGTAGCCAAGCTGCAAAACAGACGCTGCTGTCAATCCATGATGCGAGGCGAACCCAGCGAGTTCAGGTCGGTAAACCTCGTCGATCGTTTTCCGAGACTCAGCATTAGTGCCTACCATAAACACCGCTACAATGCTTCTCGTAAGAGACCGCCACAAACGCTTTAATCACTTCGAACACCAAATCGATCCTTACTGTTAATCGCTGCCCGACGACCCTACCATGAACGAAACACGCTTAGCTTTATATAACTAACCACACCACATATTCAGGGCTGCAGAGGGCTATTCAGTAACTCAGTATGAAGCGTCGAATCGCTTACCATCACGAAAGATGCAGCGTGCCCCGAAACGCGCGGCATTCGAAGTCTCACAACAAAGCGATCCTGTCCAATCTCTCGATCATTAGTCGAGCACGCCATCACCGCTTCCTGACACGACGCCTCTCCACCGGTTAATCTCGTTCATGTGCATGTACCCCGACTCAATAGATAAATCGTCGGGTGACAACTTGCAGATATTGAGGTATGAAACGTAAGTATCGCGACCGTCTAAAGCGGAGTTGAGCCAGCTGTGGGAGGTCAGTGTTATTGTAAGTATCAACGAAAGATTTCCAAGTCCAGACTCGTTGAGCTGTTACTGTTCCAGGCCGGATGCTCCGTACGATAAGCTGGAATAACAGTCGTTCTTAATGAACAGCCGCTCAAATAATATCCACGCCCGGAATAGGGACTCAACATGAGTGCGGATGGTGAACATTAATAACCCACCAGCCGTGGTGGCCTTCGCTGCTTATCGATATCCTGGAGAGGGTGCCCTTGTTAATTTAAGACAAAGTGAGCCATGATACATGATTCTGAAGACTGGACGACGAAGTTAAACGGACAACCTCACAGAGACTTGTAGCTCAGAACAGAGTGCGTGTACGAGTATACATGTATCAACACGCTCGTTAAATTATTGACGGGCGTGCTTGCACGTATGCTTCTAGCGTAGCATACGGCGAGTCTGAAACATTGAAAACAGCCTGAACCTGTACCTACAGTGTAGGCTACACGCTCTGTGCTCTTCGCTTGTGCTCGGACAGTGTGTTCACGTGGCGACGCGGAACCAAGGCGCCTTGACCTGTATGCCATACAGGCAAGTGTACCATACAGTGTATGGTACACTTGCCTCCACAAAGAATTCGTCAGCCGCTAGAATGGAACCAAATCTAGGATTTGATGCGCAACAGCGCCGGTGCAACTAATTAATCGTGATGTTGCCGTCTCGAATCGAGACGGCAACACAAAACTCGAGCGCTCTTGCTCTTCCTTCCACACCGTAGCGACCATCAAACACACCTGCACGGGACCGGAAACTTTTATCCAACTGTCATTTTCAAAATCGCCTTGAAAAGCGCAACAAACCCATTTGGACTTCCGGTTTCTTCGCAATGGCTCGCTTCCAGTATACTCTCGCTGCGGTGCTAGCACTCGCTACCAGCACTGCAAGCGCCTTCACCATTGGTTCCCCCTCTGGTCTCGCTGCCGGCACTACTGGAGGAGAGGGTGGTGAAACTGTGTACCCGACCACCACCAGCGAGCTGGTGCAGTATCTGAACGACACCGAGCCGCTTGTGGTTGTTCTTAACCAAACCTTCGACTTCCGTGGCACTGAGGGCACGACCACTGAAATGGGCTGCCGACCGGGCCACAAACGCGCATGCCTGGCCAAGAACAACGGTTTCAATGACCAGGACGTCATTCTGGGACCTGGTGGCATGAATAACACCGGTGGTTGCACGAACGGCACGGAGGTGGAGGTGACGTACGACAACGCTGCCATTAAGCGTATGAACGTCAAGGGCAACAAAACTATCCGTGGTATTGGCAGAAGCGGTGTCATTATGGGCAAGGGTTTGACGCTGAACGGTGACAACATCATTGTGCAGAACATCCACATCACGGAGCTGAACCCGCACGTGGTGTGGGGCGGTGACGCGCTCTTCATGCAGGGCTCCAACAAGGCCACTACGACGCTTAACAAAATCTGGATCGACCACGTCAAGGTGTCGCACGTTGGCCGTCAAATGGTTGTCACGAACAAGGCTGGTGTTGCCACCTTGACCATCAGTAACTCCGACTTCGACGGAAACACCGAGTACTCTGCGACGTGTGACGGACACCACTACTGGACCTTCCTGTTCTACGGTAAGAACACTGGTGTCAGCATGCTCAACAACTACGTGCACAGCACCTCCGGTCGCTCGCCTAAGGTTGGTGGCAACCCGAACGAGCACGTCGTCGTGCATGTGGCTAACAACCAGTGGGGCAACAACTCTGGTCACTCGTTCGAACTCGGTATCAACGCGTACGTGCTGGCCGAGGGCAACTACTTCGACAACACCAAGCAGCCTCTCGACAAGGGAGAAGATGGATACCTGTACGCAGCCGACGATGCCGACCTGTGCACCAGCTACCTGGGCCGTCAGTGCGCAGCAAACGTTCTGGTGGGCAGCGGCAACTTCACATCGCGCAACGGCCCGGCCGCTCTTGAGGGTCTCAAGGACTTATCCGCCATCACCGGCTACTCCTCGAATTCCGCTCAGACCAGCGACTCGCAGCAGCAGCAGGAGCAGCAGACGCAGCAGTCGAATGACTCGGAGCAGCAGCAGACGCAACAGTACACCCCGGGCACTGCCGCACCATCGGGCGAGACGACTCAATCATCGATCCAGGCGAGTGACCTGGCCAAGGTCTGGGGCGAGACAACCGATAACTTCGGCGTCGGCAAGCTCGATTAATTTGACGTGGAGTACCGTGTAAACCATTCGTGATGGCATAGAATCCAAATTTAATGTTGAGGGCCACAACGTAGCCCATCCTTTCAATAACAAACGGGAAAGCAAGTTTTTGCGTAAATGACAGGGGGTCGATGATTTCCACAAGAACCACCTCAGATTCTAGATTTTGTGTTTCGATGGAATAAACCTTCGACAATGAATAATCACAATAGGTAAAAAATATTAGATCCACAGTATTACCAAATGCAACCAGTATTTTTATTTGCGCTAACAATGAGATAATAAATTATGGTGTCATAATTGTAATTAATGTTTTCAAATGATAATTGTGAAGCTGAGCTGTTTACATACAATTACTTATTTTTAAAACTGGCAATTATAATACAACAGCGCAGCAATTTAACCATTCTGTTCCTCCACCTGTCATTCCGATGCTATCGCCAAGTTGTTTGTCGAAAGAGTATAACTATTGGAAAGCTTAAAATGAGTCGAACGAACCTTTACCATGATGCCAAATGAGTCGCTGCGCTTCCGGGTGCTATTCCCTGGACTACATGTACATGTACAGCATTTCTACCTACCCTTACTAGCAAATGCGTCTGAATCGTATTCCCTCATTCTCAAACTATCCGTCTACCAGAAACTCCGACTGCAGATTGCTGTTCGCATGAAGGTCTTATCAATTTTCGGAGCGCTGCCGCTGTTACTATCTGCGCCTTTGGTGGCCGGCTACGCCAACCCTGAAACCTGCACTGGCATCTGCACCAACGCGCACGATCCGTCTATCATTCGCAGGTCCGACGGAACGTATTTCCGCTTCTCGACAGGCGGCAAAATCGCTGTACACTCTGCCCCGGACATTGTCGGTCCGTGGACGTACTTGGGTGCAGCCGTACCCGATGGTTCCGTCATTGATCTGGACGGCAACGACGACCTCTGGGTAGGAGCCACAACACCAACAAAAGTTCTGTACGATACTTCACTGACGCTTTGATATCTCCTGACACCTTTTTTACAGGCACCGGATGTCCACCTCGTAGGTGACGAATACTACCTCTACTACTCTGTGAGCACATTCGGGTCCCAAAACTCGGCCATTGGACTTACACGCTCATCCACCATGGACATCGATTCGTGGACGGACAACGGCAGTACAGGTATTGCCAGTTCGTCTGCGAAGTCGTACAACGCCATTGATCCGAACCTTATTGCTGTCGATGGCACATACTACCTCAACTTCGGAAGCTACTGGCAGGACATTTACCAGGTCGAGATGAAGTCCACGCCTACGAAGTCCACGGGCTCTGCCTCTCAAATCGCCTTCACGTCCGATTACGAGGTGCTAGAGGGGGCATACATGTTCAAGTACGGCAACTATTACTATCTATTCCTCTCGAAAGGCCAGTGCTGTAGTTATGATACATCCAAACCAGCTTCAGGGAAGGAGTACCGCATCCTGGTGTGCCGTTCATCGTCTGCTACCGACGATTTCGTGGACCAAGACGGAACGTCCTGCAGGAATGGAGGGGGTACCATCGTGCTGGAGTCGCATGACGAAGTATACGGACCTGGTGGCCAGGGTGTATACAACGATCCGACTTACGGCCCTGTCCTGTACTATCACTACGGTAAGCGCGTCAGCTCGTATGATTCTGTTGCTGGTAACCTTACGTGTTCCCTGTTGCAGTGAACACCACGATTGGATACGCGGACGGTGACAAGCGCTTCGGATGGAACTACCTCGACTTTTCCAGTGGCTGGCCAACTGTGTAACTATGAGTCATGACATTCTTGTCTTGCGTGTGCGTACGTTTGAAGTGGAATAACAGATACGAAGCGAACTTCGCTTTAGTTCGATGTGCCAAAGTCATAGAAAAAAAGTTAGATCACAACCTAAAAAGATAGTACACGTGGGTTGTAGCTTCAGCTCGAATAGGTTTGCGGCGTAACTTGGAAGCCAACCACTGGAGGATTCTCATTAGTACTTTTGGTGAACTTAAACAACAGGCCAGCCGCTCGAGAAATCCATCGTGTTCCAGCCAAAGCGCTTGTCACCGTCGGCGTATCCGACAGTCGTATCAACTACATAGAGAGAACACACATCAGCGGGTGAATACTCAAGGATCCTCAAAGATGAGATAGTTTACCGTAGTGGTAGTACAGGATAGGTCCGTGCTTCGGGTCATCGTAGACACCCTGGCCTCCTGGTCCATACACGTTGTCGTGCGACTCAAGCACAACGGTGCCGCCGTCCTTCGCACAGTCCACACCCTCCTTGTCCACGAATCCACCCGTTGCCTTTGAGGACCGGCACACGAGGATACGGTACTCTTTACCAGCCGCCGGCTTGGACTTATCATAGCCACAGCACTTGCCCTTCGACATGAAGAGGTAGTAAAAGTCGCCGTGGTGGAAGATAAATGGTCCCTCGAGCACCTCAAAGTTGGACGTGAAACCAATCTGAGCCGGAGTAGAACTCGACAGAACCGGTGGGTCACGCATGTGAGTCTGGTAAATGCCTTGCCAGTAGCTGCCGAAGGTTAAATAGTAACCCCCGTCGACCGCGACCAGGTTGGGATCAATAGCATTATACGGCTTTTTCGAGTCGCTGGTGACGCCCGTGGAACCGGCGTCCTCCCACGTCCCCACGTCCAGGGAGCTAGACCGGGCCACGCCGATGGCAGAGTTCTGCGTCCCGAAGCTGCTAACAGAGTAGTAGAGGTAGTAGTAGTCGCCAACCTTCTGCACGTCGGGGGCCTGTACGAACAGTGAGATAATTGTATCTCCAGTGACCTATAACTGATGAAAAACGTACCCACAGATCATCGTTGCCCTTCAGATCGATGCTGGACCCCTCGGGAAGCGCAGCGCCTTGGTATTTCCATGGGCCCGAGATATCCGGTGCGGTATGAACAGCAATTTTGTTGCCCGTAGAGAAGCGGTAGTACGTGCCGTTGGCGCTCTGAATGATGGACGGGTCGTGTGTGTTCGTGCAAATTCCAGAGCATGCCCCCGGGGCGGCGTAGGCGTTGACAGCGGATGCCGCAAGGAAGGGAAGCCCGACCACCAGCGAAAAAACCTTCACCATATTATCTGCGAGCGACCGAGCGCAAACGAAAGTGATCTGCTCGGCGAGTAACGAAAGCCCATGGCCCACCGCCTCTACAGCAGCGAGGTGTACCACGAATTGTGATTCAAAAGACTATCGAATAAAGGCATTGGGCAAGGATTTTACGAGACCTCCCATCCCGATCTCCCATCCGAACAAGCAATTTACTGCGGAGAAAACAGCGACGTTGTGGACAGTCTTGGTGTGACAGGCTGCGCGAGTTCTACATACGCGCAGCGCTACCCTTCGGGGCTCGTTGGCTTCGTCACAATTCCGTTAGCGGTGAGGGCACTCTTCAATACATGATTATCTGTGTTGGGTATCGACGCATCTGAAGACGGGTAACTGGTAGAACACGTTACTGTAAGCACACTGAAATGCTAGACAGTCTGTCCGATCCCTCCGTTCGTTGTACTGTTGCCAAATCCAGGGTAAAGATCCGGGACTGTAAGCTTTGGCGAGTGAGCACTAAAATTGGTCTTTAAAATCTGGATTTTGCAGTAAAACAACAGCATTCGAACGGCCGAAATTATATACAGCGTGCATCACGAGTACCATAAGTAATGCTGGGCAATTTGGTCGAATTGATCTCATCAAATGCGATCAAATATACCAAACACGCGCTCTATAATAACTTAAGCGTGAATCGGCCTCCGTCAGGTGGCGGGCAAACACAGTTACTGTAAAATTGTTCAGATGACTCGTATGCAGGAGCAAATCTGGCTGTTATCATTAGATTTCACAATATATTTTCGGATATTTAAATTCCAACATTCTCCTCACTTACTATAATAGATATTCCTATTTGAAGATATTCTTATTGCGGAGTTGTGAAGTACACGCAGTGAATCGATAAAAATCGCAAATTGTACTCCAGTACTGTGAGTAAAACAAGCCATACTTTGATTGTTTGAAACTGATAGCTTTTCAGTACTTGTCCATAACTTGCTCATAACTGTGCACCGATTTGATAAGGACTTAGTTGAGCACACCAATGCCGAAGTTCTTGGTCGTCTTGACCAGCTTCTTCGCTGCACGAGGAGTGAACTTCGAGACGGCTGAGTTTCCTTGGACAGCGCTGTGGCCCCATTGCGTGACTTAAGCGAGCCGCTCTTGTCCAACACATTAGCCACGCACGAGCGGCCCAGGTAGTTTTTGCACTCGGTAGAGGCAGTGGCAGCGTAGATGGCTCCTTCATTACCAGCGGACAGAGGTGCCACCGTGTCCTGATAATAGTTGCCTTCAGCGAGGACAAATCCGTTCTGCCCTAGCTCAAATGAATGTCCCGAATTGTCCGCCCAGTAGTTGTTGGCGACGTGTACGATAGCGTTAGAATCGCTCGAGCCACCAACCTTAGGCGAACGGCCCGACGTCGAGTGGACGTAGTTGTTAACCATACTAACCTTCGTATCCTTGCCGTACAGCAGGAACGTCCAGTAGTGACGGCCGTCGCATGAGGCTGAGTAATCCGTGCGACCGTCAAAGTCCGAGTTACTGATCGTTAGGGAAGAAACACCGGCGTTGTTAGCGACGATGAACTGGCGACCGATGCGCGAGATCTTGATGTGGTCGAGCCAAATCTTGCTCATCGCCTTACCGTTGCTGCCTTGCATGTAGATGGCGTCTCCACCCCAAACCAGGTGCCGGTTTAGCTCGGTGATGTGGATGTTCTGGACGATGATGTTGTTGCCGTTAAGCCAGAGACCTTTGCCCATGATCACGCCACTCGTGCCGATGCCACGGATGGTCTTGTTATCAGTGACGACAAGCCGGTTCTGCGCGGCGTTATCGTACGTGATCTTCACGCTGGTGCCGCCTGAACAGCCACCTGTGCCGGCCATACCGCCACTCGATAGGATCACATCTTGGCTCTTGTAGCCGTTCTTCTTCGCAATACAGGCGCGCGTGTAGTCCGGACGACATCCGTTCGTCGTGGTGGTGCCCTCGGTGCCTCGGAAGTCGAATGTCTTGGACAGGACGATCACGCGGGGGACGGCATCCTTCAAATACGCCGCGAGTTGGCTGTTCGTTGTGGGATACACTGGGGCCGCGTTACCCCCACCTGTCGTTCCGGCAGCAAAACCGGTTGCCGAGCCGACAGTGAAGGCGTCCACGGACGTGACGGCAAAAGTCACCACTGCGATCAGAATGGGCTGCAGAAACTTCATCTTTGCAGGAATTAGTGCTTTGGTCGGCCGAAGTAAATTGGGGAATGGCAGGAAACGAGCTACAGCGATCACCGTATTGGTGTTAGAAAGACGATCATACCCCGTTCGAACAGCGGGAATACCCACCCTGCATCTGATCGCATCACGTGTACTTCTCGGATTGTTGCGTGATCGCAGGCATCTTGGGGGGGTGTGAAGTTCAGCGAAAGCCAAAGTACATGCACTGGAATGACGTCAACCAAGTGGTAGATGAAAAGATCCCACGGACAGCAAATCCTAGCAACGCTGCTGGCCACCATGTACAAACCTGATAATTATCTGTGGAAAACCTATTTCTTGAGGATTTGAAGTGTAGTGCACCGCGCGCAGGTCTGTTACAGACTCTGTAAGCAGTGTATTTCCGCGAATGGCATCGACTGCTATGAACTTGCTGACCCCCGACGACCGCCGGGACCTCGAATGGAGTCCATCATGGACCTCTTTCTGAGCGGTATTCACCCACGCGACTTAGTGCACACCTCCCCACCTGGTGAAGACATATCACCTTACCGCTTTCGTATGAGCCACTGGTAGCATTCGCAAAAGGATAACCTATGCGAAAGCAAAGCGCTTTTGTTGCACAGCTTGCAAAAGACTGGAGGTTCATGGGTCTCAGGTATACAATTCTTTTGCTAGCCGTGTAAGAATTCTGTGCTTGTACCGTAACATCGCGTCACCTGCACGTTGCAAATCGGTGTCGCTGTCCCCCGGTTGCAATCCGGCGTGCCATCTCGTTTTAGACGTGCGCTGCGAGTGTTGCTACGACCTCGCTCATTTGCATTCAAGTTCTCAATCGTTGAGCTCACGCACTGATCTGTGGCGTGCGCAGACGGCAGTCACTCTTCAATCAAGATTCAGTCACGTCGCGGACCTGTCCTCTCCATTTCATGGTGTTGTTTCGGCGGCTAGCGAAATTGTCATGGCTAACATATTGCTAGTCGCACACCAGATGGATCGGTAGAGCTCAATAGATGCACGCGGGACGTGTGCAACCAAAGTCAAGCAAGCTTCCCGTGCTGGAACGATCACTTCGAACACCCTTATGCCGCACACGCTAACAGCGCAACACAGAGATGCCTCTCTTGCAGTCTGCCATCGATAACTTATTTAAACGCCATTCAACAATTCGCTTCGCCCTGAGTAAGACCATCGACAATGAAGTTCTTCCGTCCCATTCTCATCGCGGTGGTGGCTCTCTTCGTGCAGAACACCGAGGCCTTTACGGTCGGTTCGGCCACTGGCCTTGCTGCCGGCACGACGGGTGGCGGTAGTGCCACCCCGGTGTACCCGACCACGACGGCACAGCTCGTTGCGTACCTGAAAGACTCCGTCCCCCGCGTTATCGTTTTAAACAAGACGTTTGACTTCCGTGGCACGGAAGGCACCACGACCGAGGCCGGTTGCCGTCCGGACTACACTCGCGAGTGTATCGCCAAGAACAACGGCTACAAGAGCCAGGATGTCATTCTACAGAGTGGCGGCATGTCGAACACGGGCGGCTGTTCAGACGGCACGAGCGTGACGGTCACGTACGATAACGCCGCTATCACTCCCATGACCGTAACTAGCAACAAGACCCTGCGTGGTATCGGCACGACCGGTGTGATCATGGGCAAGGGCCTGTGGCTTAACGGAGACAATATTATCATCCAAAACGTTCACATCACGGAACTCAACCGCCACCTGGTTTGGGGCGGCGACGCCTTCTACATTCAAGGCAGCAACGGCGGCTCGACAGCCATGAACAAGATCTGGCTGGACCACGTCAAGGTGTCCCGTGTCGGCCGTCAATTCCTCACGACTAACGCCGCCAGTGTGTCCACGATGACTATCAGTAACTCGGACTTTGACGGTCGCACGGACTACTCGGCATCGTGCGACGGGCGTCACTACTGGTCGTTCATCTTCTACGGCAAGAACACGCGCTTCAGTATGGTCAACAACTACATCCACTCGACGTCGGGCCGGTCCCCCAAGCTCGGCGGCGACAGTAGCGCCAACGTCATCGCCCACATCGCCAATAACTACTGGGCGGACAACTCTGGCCACTCATTTGAAGTCGGCGTTAACTCGTGGATCCTGGCGGAAGGCAACTACTTTAAGGACACGACACTACCGCTGTTGACTGGGTCGGATGGTAACATGTACGCTGCTACGGCTACTACCGAGTGCAACAGCTACCTGGGTCGCTCTTGTGTCGCCAACGTCGTGTCCAATAGTGGTGCGTTCGGTTCGCGCAACGGCGCGACGGCTCTGTCCAAGGTGAAGTCGTACTCGGCCATCTCCGGCTACAGCCCGCGTTCGGCTGTGGAGTGGAGCAAGACGACCAAGAACTTTGGCATTGGCGTGCTCGACTAAGGCGCGAGCGGAACAAGTAAATGGATGTTATAGTTTCTGTAGACAGCGTAGGGCGCTCTAAATTCCGTTCACAGAGTAACTAAATCAATATAGAGCCACGTTGTTCATAACTTGGTCACCGCCACTACATTCTAGCTGAATGGTAGCAGAATTACGAGTTGAATCGTACAAACTGCAGTGGCGCGGCCACGCTCGACATTCGACATTGCGATACAACGCGGGTGATTTTTTTGGTCGGACCTCACCTCTACATCCTCGTTTTCCGCTTTACCAACGGGTCAACAAAATGTCGTTCGTACAGAAAAATGCTTCGAATGTTGAAGAGCAGTTTTGCCGTGCGTTGAAATAAGAGCTGACGCTGTCGGGCTCCGTATGCATCTCGTCCTACGGTTTTAGTGCACCACTCGGCAGCAGAGCAGTGGCAGCTCAATCAACTCTTGGCCTCCTTTACAGCTCAGACGTGGATTTTGCTCGTCAGAACATCATCTACCCCCCCCCCCCCCTCCATTTGTTCGCCATGGTGATTTTCAGGCCCCGCTTTTTGTCGGACAGATCACTGAGGCTCGTGACGCACCTGGCATGCAGCGGCTCGAAGATTAGTCAGTGATGGCAAGTACTGAAATAGCGAATGCTCCAGCTTCTTAGTGTAGTAGATCTGGTGGGGGAACGCCAGAGGTGGAAGTGTGCTTTGAATGGCTAGACGCTGACCAATATTCCAATAGTGTTGACGTCTAAAATACTTGTGTTCATTGTGAGAAGGAATGTCCATTTATAATGCCAGTTATTTTGCCAATATCCTTAGATCAATACTTACCTGTGTGGCATATGCTAAAACTCGACAAATCATCCCCAAATTACCATGCGAGCGAACACATTGTTGTGCAGACATGCTCCAAACCGTTATATTTGTGGTGGTCACTTTGACCGTGCGTCAGATACAGTGGGGATTCGCGAACAGGTCGATGCCTTGGCCTGGAGAGCTTTGACACGCTCATACTCCACGCGTGCCTCTATTAACGGTGATCCTGGAATCCATTTGGTCGCTGTTCACGTTTCGGGATAATGGTGCCAAGATTTGCGGAGTTATTCGACTAATTTTTTTGTAATAAATCTGGAACTTAGTGCAAATGACAAAGTTAATTGCTCTGCAGCCAAACTTTCCATCTCATTCATTCATTGTCATATTAACTCCTGTACACAACCAAAGTCTCCCAGTCCAGCCATTCCAGTATATCGAACTGGTAGCGGACCTGTCGGGTTATGATGACCAGCTCTTGTGGTTTGATTAGTCCGCAAGCTGTAGAGCTCAAGCAAATCCACTGCAACAGTCGGAACTACGGATCCAGCTGGTAGATAAACGGTTTTTGAGTGTGCCAGCCTGGCACTGTCAGGGTGTTCGAGTCATGCAAACCACGTGACAGCAGAGGCACCACCCGATGGTCCGCTATGCTGTTCGAACGTCATGACCGGCTCACAGTCAATTTGGCATTTTCCCATTTGACGTCTTCCTGTTGCATCATGAAGCTTCTTTCGATCCTCGTTGGACTCCCTCTCCTCGTGGCTGGCGCCGTCAACGGATATGCCAACCCCCTAACATGCACGGGTGTCTGCACCAACGCACACGACCCATCCATCATTCGTCGCGATGATGGAACGTATTTCCGCTTCTCCACTGGCAACAAGATTGCTATCCACTCTGCTCCTGACCTCACAGGTCCTTGGAAATACCTGGGCGCTGCGGTCCCCGGTGGCTCCAAGATCAACCTGAAGGGCAAAGATGATCTCTGGGTGAGTATCTCTCGACAGATTGAGGACTTAACCAGCTCGAATTAACCTAGTAAACTGTTCTTTGATTCTAGGCCCCCGATGTCCACAAGGTCGGGGACATGTACTATCTGTACTACTCGGTGAGCTCGTTCGGTACGCAGAACTCTGCTATCGGTCTTACCCGCTCCAAGACAATGGAGGCAGGCACTTGGACGGATGCCGGTAGTGTCGGCATCACGAGTGACTCGTCCAAGAAGTACAACGCCATCGACCCGAACCTGGTCCAAGTCGGTAGCCAGTACTACCTCAACTTCGGCAGCTACTGGCAGGGACTTTACCAGGCAAAGATGAAGCCCAACCCAACGAAAAACACTGGCGAGGTCGCGAGCCAAGTGGCGTTTACCTCGAACTACGAGGTGTTGGAGGCTGCGTTCCAGTTCGCCTACAAGGGCTACTACTACATGTTCTTCTCCAAGGGATCGTGCTGCGGCTACGACAAGACCCGCCCGGCTAAGGGCAAGGAGTACCGTATCCTCGCGTGTCGCTCGAAGAGCCCGACTGGAGGCTTTGTCGACAAGAACGGAGTCGACTGTCGTAACAACGGTGGCACGATCGTCTTGGAGTCTCACGACTGGGTGTACGGTCCGGGAGGCCAGGGTGTCTACAACGACCCGAAGTACGGCCCCGTGCTGTATTACCACTACGGTAAGCTGCTTCTCTTTAGGATTTTTCCTCCTGTTTCTACTCGATCTGACGTTTGATTGTAATAATTCGTAGTGGACACCCGTGTTGGTTACGCGGATGGTGATAAGCGCTTTGGCTGGAACAAGCTCGACTTCTCGAGCGGCTGGCCCAAGGTGTAATTACTCGAGAAGAGTACACAAAACATGTTGATGGAAAATACCGGAAGGAGGACGAACGTAGATGTTTGTTCGGCATTGATGCGTTATAAAATAGAACCATTCTTTGGGTGAGTGAAAACGTTTGATTGTACAACCCAATAATCTTGTGCATGCGTTTACTTTATCTTTAATTTGAGGCGAGGGATACGATGATGTCTGGGCTCACAAAAACAAACAGGTCTTCGACTCCTTTGCATCGGGAACAGTACCGGTAAAAAGTAACAGCATTAATACAGGTCGTTGACGTAGTAAACGTTGTAACCTCTAAGGTCTCATAGACACATACCTGGATTGACAGCGCAAGCTGTATGATCGTCAAAAATATCTGGATAATTGTGGATTCTCAGTGACTTTCAGCCAACATGTATAATATTTAGCCAGTCTCCTGCAGTTTATTTTACTTCTAAAACAAGTCTCTTATTGTTTTATCGTTATCGTAGCTTTTCAGTGAGGTGTCTTTTTCACAATAAACATCCGCTGTTTCTTACAATTCAATAGATGTTAACGAAACCAGTCGATTGTACACTGTAAAATGAATTTTACGACGCAGCTCGATCGTTTAAATCTCGACATAAGCGGATGCTGCGATTCGCGGAATCGGTAAAACCCTGTAAACTTTACTGCGATGGCACGAAAGCAGCTCTCAAGATTAATCTTGAAATCATGAATTTGAGGATTTGCACTTTGCCGTTTAGCTTCCTACCAACCAGCGTTAATACTAGCAATCGCAGGCGCTTCCACGACTCGGTATCGCACTGCGAACGAAGAGCTGACTGTGGCTTAGAGGAAACTGTTTCAAAAAGCAGCAACGTTTGCAAACTCGCTGAACAGCAGCTTCAAGTTGACCTCGTGCATGTACAACATGTTGGAGTATTCCCGCTTTTGTACACATTACATGAACCCACATCGTTGAATCGAAATCCCACAATGTTTACGGTCATATGTCAGCTCGCTGGCATCAGTGATACCCTTTTATTTTATATCACTAATTGTGACAAGTATCGCACTGGTAGAAGAGTACTATTCAGCCAGTCAACGGGAAATCCGGACCACGAGCGTCGTTGCTTCAGACCAGTATGGGATAAGCTGAAGAGCTGTTGGATTCGTCTACGACATTTCGCCGCCATTCCTGATTTTGACAGTTAGCACTCAAACCGCTTAATCTCCAGTCCGTCTCAATGAAACTTCTTTCGATGCTCGTTGGGCTTCCCCTCCTCTTGGCTGGCGTCGTCAATGGATATGCCTTACCTCAAGCATGCTCGGGAGTCTGCACCAATGCGCACGATCCATCCATTATCCGACGCGACGATGGAACGTATTTCCGCTTCTCCACTGGCAACAAGATTGCTATCCACTCTGCTCCTGATCTCACGGGTCCTTGGAAATACCTGGGTGCTGCTGTCCCGGACAGCTCGAAGATCAACCTCAAGGGAAGAGATGATCTGTGGGTAAGGAAATCCATAGCCACATCGGATTAGTATAATACCTCCAAGTACTAACTTTTTTTTCACTGTAGGCTCCTGAAGTGAATAAGGTTGGAGACACGTACTACCTGTACTACTCCGTCAGCTCTTTCGGAACCCAGAACTCGGCGATTGGTTTAACGCAATCGAAGACCATGGAACCTGGTTCGTGGGTTGATGCCGGTAGTATTGGTGTCACGAGTGATGCATCCAAAAAATACAACGCCATTGACCCGAATCTCATCCAAGTCGGCAGCGAGTACTACCTCAACTTCGGCAGCTACTGGCAAGGTCTTCACCAGACGAAGATGACGTCGCCCCCAACGAAGAGCGCTGGAGGTGCCAATCAAATCGCCTTTACCTCGAATTTCGAGGTCGTTGAAGCTGCGTTCGAATTCGCCTACAAGGGCTACTACTACATGTTCTTCTCCAAGGGATCGTGCTGCGGTTACAACAAGACCCGCCCGGCTAAGGGCAAAGAGTACCGTATCCTCGTGTGCCGTTCGAAGAGTCCGACTGGAGGCTTCGTTGACAAGAATGGGGTTGATTGCCGTAACAATGGGGGCTCGATTGTTCTGGAGTCTCACGACTGGGTGTACGGCCCGGGAGGCCAGGGCGTCTACAATGACCCGAAGCATGGCCCAGTGCTGTACTACCACTACGGTAAGCTTGATGTATTATCTGTGTCTAAGCTATTTGTAGTGTTCTAACTTGTACATGATGACTTGACGTGTAGTGGATACCCGTGTTGGGTATGCGGACGGTGACAAGCGCTTTGGCTGGAACAAGCTCGACTTCTCGAGTGGCTGGCCTACGGTGTAAATACTCAAAGTGTTTACACATTTTGGCGTTTAAAAACATGCTTGTTAAAAAGCGTTTAATCGCTTTATCGAGTTTAGCCCTGTGGTAGGTAATTCTCGAATCGATTCTCTCTTCACCTCGTAGACTACCATGTCTTGAGCCATTTTCTCCTCTATGAGATCGAATTTCTCACTGGTTTCTTGTTCCTTGCGCGTTGGATCGTAGCAGGCCACAAACAAACAAACCAGTGATGATCCCACAAGAATAGTATCAAACAACATCCGTTTTGACCACTCCGTTTTGTAGAATCCATACTTGCCCGGATTCTTCGCAAACGGTGACGAGGCATTTACAGGAAGACCCGGTCTACTGTTTCTGCACCAGTCATCAGCTTCCGAAGTGTTGCAAGAATCCAGGAAACGCAAGGGGTCATATGTGTGGGTATCGCTTCCGAGCTTGCGTTGACAATTCCACACCTTTCTTCTTTGTTCTTTCACTGATCGCCATCGTATCCCAAGTTCGACTTGTAAAGCATCTTTCGATGCCAAGTATTTGTCTTGGTACCCATGACGACTGCTTAGGAATCAAACCCCCATTCCTGGTTCTTAGTATCGAATAGGTAACAACATAACTCATATAATAATAAAAAATACGATTATACGTGTACTCGAGTTTTTTTAAATGAAATTGGATTATAAGATTTATAAGATTTTGTAAAGGTCGCATCACATCTCCATCTTATCGTATTGTATCTATCACTCTTATTCCCAGTCGACTTTTAAATCTCCCATGACGACCGACAACCTGAAAATCAAATGCACCTTTTCCTGATTTTTATTACATAGTATCATTCATGTCATTCAACTGAGAAATTCACGGTTTGATCACAGTGTGAATGTATTCACAATATCAAAATTCTTAATACTCCCTATGATTTTACCATAGTTTCAAAAGAATTGACGTGTAAACCACCAATTCTTGCTCATTCGTATTGGTGTTGTTGTTGTTGACCCAACCAACTAGATCTATGGCACGTAAAAAAATCATCATGGCATAGTGGACTGTGAGACTTTGTTGTAAATAATTAAATGGTTATCTTCAACTACGCTCCTGCAACATGAGCAGTTCGCGGTCGTAGCGGTTCTCGGTATCGCAGGCGTTGTTTCTCCTTAGCACTCAGCGGCATGACTCTACCAGGGATAGCTTGATCACAGCTATATGGACGTCGAAACACAGTCTTGGACAAGTTCAAATGGAAGAGGTTACTGGTAGCTGTGCCCAGCATCGCCATCCGAGGCACCGCCCCCATTCCCATGGTCGCGTTCAGCAGCAATCCCCACCGCGAAACGCCAAGTTTCTTCCACAGCGAAGAATTGTCGGCAGCTCGGTGCCACCGATATGACACTTGCGACGCGTAACCTAAGCTTCTCAGATCGAGAAACGACAACACTCGCTCTCGAAGTCTTTGAGATAAAACATTCTCGCCAATATCGTTCGGTGTTCCACGCTGAGTTTCGGCAATCAACGCTCGCTCGAGATCTTCATTACCCGTTGCAAACTCCGCCAGAGTCTTCGCATCACGAGCTTCCTCCTCCGCCACATCGCCGTAGCAATTCCTCGCTCCAAGGTCACATTCTCTACGAACAAGAAGTCGAACTACTCGGTACTGCCCCTTCCGTGCAGCGTAGAATAGTGGGGTTTCTTTATCACTAGTCCGCGCGTTAATATCCGCTCCACGGTCAAGCAAGAGCTCGGCAAGGTGAACGTGACCGTTAAAGCAGGCGAGATGCAGAGGAGTCTCGAGTGCGTCGTTGCGAACGTCAACGCACCATCCAAAGTCGAGTAGTAGTTGCAATACGTCCAGGTGCCCTCGAGCGGCAGCATGATGCACTGGAGAGTAACCGAGCTGCGAAGGAAATAATTAACTTCTGAGTCAAGTTATTTAAATCTAACATGCTAGCTAAAACACGTACTAGGCCTTTGCATCGGTCCTTGTCGACGCCTTGGTGCAACAACAGGAAGACGGCGCGTTGTTTCCCTTTCTCGCTTGCTATTAGTAATTGTTCATTCAGTTGGTCACTCTCGACCCGCAACAAACTCGTCAATTGATGAGTCGCATTTTCTCGTTGGCTGCGTTTTGCCTTGTCCTTCTTCTTGTTGGACTTTGGACGCACAGTCTCCGCCTCCTGCAGCTGCTTCGCTGTCCTAGACGACTTCCTACCAGCCGAAGTCGACGACCGCATCGTACAGCCGTCCCGATCAACCGCCACGAGCAGCGGTCTACCGCATACAGGCATTATCTTTAGTAAATCTATTTTTATAGTCACAGAAAAAGCTTTTTTTTTTTTGTGAAAATTGGTAAAGTACCTTTTTATGATCGTCAATCGGTTACACTCGTGTAACATTCCGCTTGCAATGTTGTACGAACGAGCTGGCCGAGTGTGAGGCTCTGAATTGACTCAAAGTAGGCAGACGACTCCAACGCCGGCGACGATGGTGAAGCCCGTGGTGAACGCCAACATGAACAAGACCTTCCGCGAGGTGGTGGGACGCTTCGTGGGTGCGCCGCCGCAGCTCTCGCACAAGCAGAAGGTGCAGCGTCTGTACAAGCAGTCGCTCAAGACGCTCGACTCGTGGGTCATTGACCGCCGCCTCTGGAACGAGGAGGCCACCAAGATCCGCGCAGAGTTCGACGCTAACAGCAAGCTGGACCCGGAATCTGGGTATGTCCAAGTACCAACTACTGACTTTCATTTTGTTTTTTACCATAATTCCGGTGGTCTAGCTGTTGGTACTTACACAATGTCTTTTTGCCACTCGTTGATCTCTATAGCCTGGCCAAGCGTCTGGTACGTGAGGCACAGGAGAAGGTGGACCACTACACGCACCCGGACCGCTATATATTCAACTACATGCCCGGTGGCAGTCTCTTCATGCGTAACGCGCCCATCCCGCTGGACGTGTGCTTCCCGGACGGAAACATCCCCGAGGACGTGGAACTGTCGCCGCTCGAGGGCATCAACATCGACATGACGCCACTGCCTGCCAAGGACACGGTCTTCGTCGACTTCTCCAAGAAGGGCTACGACTAAGTGCCATTGGCAGCAGGTTCAGAGTTGACTTTGCAGCAATTACAACGAGAAAAAATCCGAGTAATTTGTTTTTTACTTTTTCGATTTTTTGCGGATTTTTATTTGCTAGCAGATAGAAGAGATACACATTCAAGAGTACTCGAGTTGGTCGCAGATGCGAGATTTGGTCACTGCAGTATTCAGACCGAAGTCGCGGTAGCGGAATCCATTGAAGGAATTGGTGAAAGTGTTCGGTCGTCCGAGTCGCTCGACTTCGACCTTGAGCTGTGCCTTCTCGGCGCCGATTTCTCGACAGCTCGTGGCGTATAGAGGATGTTGGTTTTGTGCTTCGGTGATCGGCTTGATATCGATGGGCTTGGGCATAATTTCCTCGGGTCGGAGCGCAAAATCTTCAGGCGCTGCGACGTCTACACGTCGGATGGTGACAAGTCCGGAAGCCTCCACCTCTTTGTGTACAGTGAGCTTGTCCATCCGCTGGCTGAGTTTCAATCGTTCCTGTGCCCGGACACCTTCGCCTAGAGCCCCTGATGTCGTCTGGTACATGAACTCGGTCAACGAGTTCGACGATCGTGGCTCTCCCGTTCCGATCTGGTTGTTGCTCGAACTGCCGCGAAGTTGAGGAGCGTCATATGTAACTTTTTCGTGAAGATCGATGCCGACAATCCCAGAGCTCGTGGTCATGAACGGATTGTTGGTACGCCGCGTGTGGTGGACGGAAGAGCCTCGCGAAATCATGCTGTCTCACGTGTGTGGAGCTGCTTTGATTCTCAAATGACAGAAATGTCCATGCAGATCAACTAGCTCTAGAACTTCTGGTGCATTTTTTTTAGCAAACTATTTCCAGCATCATCGGTTATTCTTTCCGTTAATAGAAAACTGTGATATTCCTGCCTGTTAGTATGATTGGTCAAAATCATTCAGACATGATGACTTCCATGGGGTTGCTAGAGCTGTGGCAGCTCACATGGCTGATCGCCGTGGCTGGCGGTCTGCTCTCGTTTCGGAGTAGTTTCTGCCGTGGGTTCGTTCTGCAGGGCAAGATGCGTACTCCTGCTGCCGTCTCACAACTCCCCGGGTTGTCATTGCTGCGTGTGGAGGTGCCCAAAAGCTACTGGACGTGGTTCTACCTTGTCGGAGCTCTGCACAGCATCTTTATGTTGGTTATCACAGTCTTCTGGCAACATACGCAAGCAGTGCAATACGCTCTGCACTTCGCGCATCCCTCTGTAGAAGAAGGCAATAGTATCATCCTGAACCGGGCAAACAAAACCACCGTATAAACAAGGAGGTAAGTCAACACAACGCGGAGCAAACTAGAAACGAAGCATCCCACAAAGTTACGCCACGCAAAGATGAACCCCTACAGCACGAAAACACCAAACTCAAACCACCTTCGCAAACGCGAAACAAACGAGGCCGGGAAAGTCGGGATCGAAGACAATAACAAATACGCAACGAAAACACCAACCGCACTCAAAGACACGGAAACAACAAAGATAAACGAGACCACGGTATATCGCAAAGCAATGACGAAGTGGGCCCAGATCACATACATCACGGCATCCGAACATCAAACGCCCGGCAACGAGCCTCTAGCCAAACAAAAACGCGACAAAAACAAAAAGAACGTAACTCCTCGGGGCGACTGAAGCGAAGCACAACGGAGCCCCAACAAAACCACCGAAACCAGCATCTACAAAGCAGGTACCTTGGTAAAAGAACGCACAACCAGCAGCCGAGACCCCCCAACAACGTAAACCCCGGGAAAAAAAACACTTCCAGCACAAACCAGATCCCAACCGGTCAAGGAAAAAGTACGCGAGCGAAGCAAAGAACATCCCAACAGAAAACAGCTACAGCATACCCGGTAAAAAGAAACCGCACAACAAACGCACGAAAAAAAAAAAAAATCCAAGCAGACAAAATCAACGCAAAAATAAAAGCCAACCGAATCCCCAAACGCCAGAACCAGGCCATCCCCTTCAGAGAGCGAGCATCGGACCCCTTCACCTCTGCAACACAGCCACTTTCCCCAACCCAGACAATACCCAACTCACGCTCACTTACAGCACCCAGCCCGGCGATATACAGGAGCTGCTAAAAAACTCAACTCGCCTACGCAAACTCAGCCGACTCAGAAACCCACACCAATTCAAGCGAATCCGTCGTGGAACCCACCCACCAAACAAGCAGAATCAAAACAAAAAACCGTACGAAATACAGACAAAAGACATGGAGGTACCCGCCAGACCCAAAAGAACAACCCCTGCATCCACCGACACGCGACAGCAACACCTGCCCCGACGAGACATGCGCGCCAGGTACCAGGCACAAAATGACACTACAACAGTGGTAAACCAGAGGCCACATGACGAAGCTAAAACACAGCCAAAAAGAAAAAGCAACCAACCACTGACCGAACAACAGGCAATCCACCAACATGCCTCGCACCCACGACGAATAGACCTCGCAACAGAACGAGTTACACCAAGAGAACATGCCATACACGCAGCGACTACCCTCACAAGCGAGCTACGACACGGCAAACAGCGCAGACAACAAGCGCGAACACCCAGAAAGAACAGACAACTACGCGCACAGCTCCAAAGCAAACCAGTCCAGCAACCGTCGGACCCACTCATAGACCGCACACCAGACAAGCGAAGGCCGCCACCGGAACATGCAGCCCCGACCCAAGGAACGGCGAGCCAAAAAACAACACAGACACCAAAAGACAAGCCTCCTAAAAAAGAAAAGCCAAATGAACTAAAGCCGAAAAGGTAAAACCAAAAAAACACCTCCGCAGACAAAACACCCAACTTTCAAAAAACACAAATAGCAAATCTAAAAAGAAGAAAATAAAAAAAAAAAAAACACTCACGAACTAAGAAAAAAGAAAGCAACTGCACCAGCAACGCCTGAACGATATCCCAGGCAACCAAAAGCGTGGTGAAATTAGACACGAGAAAAAAGCAAAAATGCACACCAAAAAACACGATATGAACCTAAATCACGAACCACTCAAATACAAATTGCGCATGAAGCGAAACAACAACCCCACTCAATGTGAAGCGGAAAAAAAGCCAAACAAAACCCACAACACAGTCCGCAAAAAACCAAACCGAATCATCGCGCACGGAATTGTGGAAATAGAAAACAGAAACCCACACAAGTATAATCAACCAATCCTTACCAAGCAGACGAAAAATAAGCCAATAGAAATAGACCGGCTACAAGCAAGACAAATCACAATAACACAAAGGAAAAACACCGCCAGAAGCACCAACGACTCACCAAAGCGATAGCAAAGCGCGAAAAAAACAACACGCGAAATCGAGCTCACAACAAACGCCAAAAACACCACCATGGGACGCAAACAACGAAAGAGAGGCGAAGACGCCCGTAAAGGCCGACATGAAAGAACCCCACAAGCACCAGAACGCACCACGAAGAACGAACCACAGAACCCATGACGGCGAAGCAAAATACACATACGCCAAAACTCGAAGAGAGAACACAACACGAGACAAACACGTGCGAAGTCCCCACAAAAAAGAACCCCGAAAACCAGGAAGCGGAACCAGTGGAAGCACACAACGAACGACCGAGCCCAGGAAGCACACAACAGGATAAAAAAAGCAATTACAAATAGAACAGAAGGCACAACGAACGCGGCGAAGCTTCGAAAATGGCACATCACACTTGCCGATTGAAAACATTCTGACACGGCAACGAGCGACACACAAAAACCAATGGCACCCAAAAGCAGTACAAACACATTGGCTGAAGGTAAAAAGCCGCCAAGCAAGAAGAAAAACGTAAGAACAAGGCAAAACGAAGCAGACAATGAAACCACCAGCTAACGATCAGCATGAAAACACTGCAACTAGCACAACACATGAAGAACCATAATCAAAAACCAGATCAATCAACATGCGAAAACCAGGCAATGAAAACTACTCCCGTTACCAGAAACGACAAAGAAAGCATAGCATTAAGAAAAAACATGAGTTCGAAACTACTCGCTCAAAATAAACCTAAAGAAACAACAGAGCATGAACTAATAACAAAGAACACGCAAACAAACAAAGTTCAATGCCCAGACGACGAAACGGAAAGCCAAACACACCCAGCCAAGCAACAAAGAGCATCGGATGTGTTTTGTATAAAAAACCGTCGAGTCGTGCTCGTTTTCGAGCCCCGATCATCGACGGTTTTTTAGTCAAGTGAAATTGAGCTTTGCTGTCATAAGCGATGTCGTGACGCTCCATCTTGTAGGTAATGGTAACAGTGCAGTACACTCCTGTTGTGCTGCAAATTCCCATTCTACAACATTCCTCGTTGACCGCAATCGACATATCACAAGGCTATCATTCTACTAAAAACTTCGTGTCAAGATGGGATTATCCAACGTTGTGCTAATAGTTGCTGCTGCTATTTTGCTTGGGTCTATTAGCTGCACGGCCAAGAACGACACGCCCAGATTGGTGCCGGAAATTGCGCCGTATGAAAGGGAGTACGCGCCCACAACGGCTGGAAATACAAACCGCGAAGAGAAACAGATCCTGCGATTTCTCGAAGTGGCTCGTGTGGCTGAGGGCGACGAAGAAGAGAGAGCCTTGAATTTTGCTTATCTGAAGAATCTGAAGAATCTGGAGAAGTACATACCCAAGGCAGATACACTCAAGGCAGCAATGAAGGCAGCACAAGCGAAGAAGGCTGCCAAGGCCGCAGATAAGCTGAAGAAGAACAATCTCTTTAAACTACCGGGAACTACGGACGATCAGCTTATCTCGAAATTCAGGGAGTGGCGTGCACAGGGAAAATCTTCGGCCGACGTCACTAATGGCATTTTTAAAACGAACGGAATGAAGCAAAATGACGCTATTACGATCGGCAACCGATATCAGGTTTACCTCAACGATTTTGGCTAAATAAGGGGTGCTTGTCCACGAGAGAATTGAATACGTTCAGATTCGTTATTGATTGGTATGGGTATGTGACAACTACTTTTTCATTTCTGGTGTTCTACACTGAAGCATCATCTTGCATGCTTGTTACATGTATTCGCTCAACTAACAAGTGGTGTACAGCGCTCACATAGTTGAAACGATGGCCACTAGAGTGCCGCATTGACAAAATAAGGGTGTTTCACTGGTATAGATTTGTCTTCCGTCATTTCCAGTAGTCTTGAAAGCGAGTCTTTTATTTTTTTTCCCTTTTCTTTTAATTTATGAAACAAGAGGAGAGAAATACTTTATGTACTAACTACTAAACTTTTTTTATCACTACACATTCACCCCGTGCGCAACACCCTTCTCCTCGTCCTGCTGAGCTGCCATGTTGTTGAAAATGTGTTCCAGAGCAGTTTCGCTCACACTATACTCGTCCACATTGAGATCGGAACGAGTCTGCTCCAGTGCACGGAAAATCTCTGCTGGACGCAGCACTGCGTCACTGTCGGGGCGATGCTTCGGCACCTGGAACCGGAAGTGTTCGCCTTGCTGCTCCGCAAGAGTGCTGCCAGGGAACGTGGTCTGGAAAAAGCTCTGCAGTCTCTCGCCGTGGGTTTCAGAGACCCACCACGAGCAGAACGTCTCGACGGAGACTGAACCTTGTGTCTCCAATTGACTGCCAAGTAACCAGCCAGTACCCGAGTGATCGATGATACGGGGACCCCGTTCAGTAGCCCCCAGAGCCGTGCACAAATCTTGAATGTTGGCCGTAGTAATCCTCGTACTACTAACTTGAAGACTGCTCGAACTCTGTCGACTCGTTCTACTATGTCGCACCGAAAGAGTCCGGTCAGCTGTGAGGAACACTCGTGTTTGATCCATGACACTTTTTACTTCCTCACTAGTGGTATCCGAGGCTCGTAGCGTGATCTCCACAGTGTAGCCTTTACCAAACTTCTGCTTGAGATGTTCCACACTGCCGAGACATTTCAGTCTGCCACTCACGAGAATCCCCACTCGAGAGCACAACGCCTCACACTCTTCCATACTATGCGTAGTCAATACCACACAAGCATCAGTCGAACTCACACGTGCGATAACATCCCACATTTTGCGTCTTGAGCTCGGGTCCACGCCCGTCGAAGGTTCATCTAGGAACACAACACGCGGACGTCCAAGCAACGCAATGGCCGTCGACACCTTGCGCTTGTTGCCACCGCTGAGTCCTTGCGTCAGTTTGTGTCGGTATTTCGTGAGTCCGAGCTCTTGAATCTGCTCGTCCACTGCGGCATCGACAAAAGGCTCAGGAATGCCCTTGACGCGAGCATACAACTGCAGTTGTTCCTTCACCGTCAGCAGATCATGAAGCGCGTCGAACTGCGGACAGTAGCCCATGGTTTTCCGCGCCTCAGCCGAGCTGGTGGACAAGTCGAAGCCGCTTAACGTAACAAAGCCGTACGTAGGAGCCAATTGGCCTGTCAGCACAGCCATCGTCGTCGACTTTCCAGCTCCGTTGATCCCCAAGTAGCCGAAACACTCGCCACTCTGGATCGACAGACACAAATCCTTCAATGCAACTTTTGCGCGTGGCTTGCCAGCGTATTGTTGGCGCAAATTACGGATAAACACGAGGTCATTCGGCCCAGGCTCTTGCTGCTCCACTCGATGGCGTTCCCACTGCACATCGTCGTCCTCCTCTTCCGTCTCCACTGCCACAGCGCTGTGGTCCGTCTTCCCCGTTGATTTCTTCCACTTAACCGAGCGATTCTCCAGTACAAACACCAGTACAGTCAGTATAACTGCTTCGACCAGCGTGTACAGCAGTGGCGCTCCCACGATCTCCAAGTCGAAGGGCTGGCGTACACAACACGAGGGCCCGATCCGGTCCCAGCATTCCATACATTCTTCTTTGCCCAGGCCTTCAAACAACCCGAAGAAAGACGGAGACGTGGACGTCCAGCGACCGGAACCGAACAGCGCTCGACGACTCACTTTGCGCGTCGCCAGCTCGAAGATGCCGTTGTTCAACGTGTAGCCCGGGAAGACCATGAAGATCCAGCGCAGGTAGTTGCGGTCCAGTGATGAGAGCGTCAACGAGCCCGAGATAGTGAAGTTGACGATGCGACACATGAACGAGAAGATGCTCAGCAGGCCGCCGGTGCCCAGAGCGAAGACCAGCAGGGCCGTCTGAGCCACCGCGTGCTTGACATAGCGTCTGGAGAACAAGTAGGCGAGAGGAATAATCGCCCAAACGTGAGCAATAACCAGCGCGATAATAGCTAATACGTCGCCTGTGCTGGCCTTGTCAGCCCCACTGGGCGTCATGGACAGCGGGATGACAACGGCAGAGGCCACGATAGGGACGATCGTGATGAGCAGGTCGTGCGTCCAACTGGCCACCCAGTAGGCCGAGACGTTGGCGCCACTGATGAGCTGCAGACTCTTGGCGTTCTGGATCGGATCCTTCTCCCTGACAACGAACGCCACGATCGCCGCTGGGATGAAGGCAAACGCCAGCATGACCACCAGCGCCACTAGAAACCCATTGAGCGTCACTTGCAGCTTGGCGTTGTTCTTGGCCAGACAATTGTTGTTGAAGCACGGCGTCGAGTTGCACGTGTTGCACGGATACCACGGAGACGCGACGTTGGCAGCGTTGCAACACGCACTCACGTCGCAGTCCACCACTCCCAGTGTGCAGTAGTCGAAGCCACGCGAACTCACACACGCCGTCACGTTAAAGTCCGGGTCTATCAGACTCGAAAAATTAGTAGACGCAGCGCATTGACTCTGTTGCGACTCAGTAGGCAGATTTGAAGCGTAGTTCGGGATAAAATCCGCCACTTGGATCTCCGGTAGAATGGCCAAGATGATCAAGAAGATCAGTGGGATACCCACCGAGTACGCCAACGTCTTTTTGTCCCGCTTGGCAATCTGGAAGCGTTTCTTCGTCAGCGCCCAGTACTGCGTCCACATGGACGGCTCTGTGATCGGTGGAGCCCCTATCGACACGTTTTTCGGGTTGTGCTGTACAATTTCCTGTTGCTCTTCATGATCCTGAGAAATCCGCAAGAAAACTTCTTCTAAAGTCGTGACGGAGATGCCATACTGTTGCACTCCAAGTGCACTCATTTCAGCATCCAACTGCTCCAACATCGACGGGAAAACGTCTGAAGAAGCGGTCGGGAGTTGGAACACTAGCTCCGATCCAGAGCTGCTTAAACACTTGACTCCTGGCACGTATTTCTTTAGAAAATTCTCCACAAGCTGGGCGTCACAAGAGCCATCCGAAGTCTTGATCATAGTCAAATTATAACCCGCTCCAAAGCGATTTTTCAGGAACAATGAAGACCCAGCACAACGCAGTTGACCGTCGGCTAGAATGGCGATACGATCGCCGAGAATGTCCGCTTCGTCCATGAAATGGGTTGTTAAAACAATGACGCGATCTTCGCGACTCTGCTGGAGTAAATTCCACGTAAATCGTCGAGAATAAGGGTCCATTCCAGACGTTGGTTCGTCCAAGAAGACGAGTTTACTGCCGCCAAGGAAGGCCAGAGCGACGCTGAGTTTGCGCTTCTGGCCTCCCGAGAGCGTCTTGGCCAGTGCATGGCGAATTTCCGTCAAACCTACGCTTTCGATCATTTTTTCCACACTGGATTTCAGTTCGCCACGTGAAATCTGCTTCATGGTGGCAAAAAGCAACAAATGCTCTTCAACTGTAAGGTCTTGGAAAAGCACGTCATGTTGTGGGCAAATGCCGATAACGCGTCGAAGCTCGTTGAAGTCGCGCTTGATGGAACAGCCGTACAGTGTTGCATCTCCCGCTGTGGGCGGGATGAGACCCGTGAGCATCGAGATGATCGTCGTCTTGCCAGCGCCATTATGACCCAACAGAGCAGTGATTTGGCCACTGTACATAGAGAGATCCAGCCCGGCAACTGCGACGCGCTCCTCGCCGTCTTCTTCGAGAGGGAAAACTTTGCGCAACCCGCGGATCTGGAGACACGTGCCATTGCGCTCTTGTATCGCCAACGCGGCGTTAACCGGCTCTACATACGCATTTCCACTCGGTTTGGCAATATTGTCAGTAAGTTGCGTATACACCCCGCCAGCTTGAGGTGACAGCGTGTAATTTTCTGAGCTCGTAGCCATCTCGTCGTCTTTTGACTGATCGATCTTGTTAACCCAGTAACTTTTCGTCAACAAAAAGTACCAGGGCTTCCTCACGCCGTATTGCTGAGGCAAAACCTGCTCCAAATACCATCCCAACGCCACGAGGATAACGGAGTCGAGCAGCAAGAACAGACTCATTCGAAATGCACTTGGAACTGTAACAGGTCCTTCGCGAAGGCCCACGGAATAGGCAAAGCCTGTGCCAAGTTGCGCTCGACGTAAGATCTCGTCAACGGCCAATGCAAATGCAGTAGGAGGCGACAGAGCGGCCCAGTACCGAGGCGTGTTTGTGTCTGCAGACTGCACTGCAAAGTATGGGAAGAAGAGAATGAGCCACAGAAGCACCGACGCGATGGCTGCGGTCCTGGACTTGTTGAAGAATGGCGCGACAAAGTACGAAAAAGCTGTGATGGCCACACTGAGTGTCCAGAAGAGAAACACCAGTGTTGCGTACTCGGTCGTAGGGAACACGTTGCCATATTTCAGTACGGCTGCAATGGCAAATGCCAATGGCGTGGCCAACACGGCTGTGGTTAAACACCACGAACACAGCAGAGTGGCGTCGGATAGTCCCATGATCTTCATGACCTCGCGTAGTCTGTTTTCCTTCTCCATGACCATCGTCGTGGTCGTAGTTGACACAAATTTGATATAACTGACTAGAAAAAATAGTCCCAGTACGGACTGCCCGCCAGTGTAGAACGATGTCATAGTGGACGACGGTCCGCCGATCGCTTCGAGTCCCCAGACGGCCAGGTCACTGCAAATGAGCGTCTCGTTGGCATTTAGTTGCGCAGCTTCGGACGTGAACCACTGCGATCTCCAGCTATCTGCGAAATTGTCAAGGTTTGCCAGCAACAGCAGCGCTGTGGAGAGCAAAACTGGCAGGAAAAGCTCCATGAGCAAGCTCACGGGGCGACGGCGACGCAGAACCATGTTTTTCCAGACCAGGTTGGTCACTTGTGTCCATGTGGCTGCCACTTTTGCAGCGAAGTTGCTCTTTATCTGTTTGTAGAATCTGGCAAAAATCGCGATTGCCGCAACTGCAACTGCCACAATTGCCACGACGGCGATGAGAATTGTGTTGGCGGACGAAATGCCTCCGTCACATTCATTCTGGTATGTGAAAACGTCATCGAACAGCTGCTTGCAAGTTGCCACTGCTTCAGATGAAGTGTTGCAGGCTCGCAGCGACGCGGCAGCCGCGCAACATGAGGCCGAAGCTGACGATGTTTGCTCGGAACACATGACGCGGCAGACCGAGTCTCCATTGAAATCGTCGCTATCATCGAAAGACCCGGAGGAGGAGAATGAGGACGAGTTTCGATCCTGGAAATCGTCCGGCAGCAGGTCGAAGAGCCCCGAGTTGGTCACACACAGGCCGTACGCGATGTCGTTCTCCAGGACAGTCGTAACGCAGTTGGAGAGCGCCGTCAGCGTCGCGCTTTCGGCATCGTCCGAGGACCCGGCGTCCGACATCGCAGAGTTTTTTTTATTGTGAGACGGTATTATCGAATTAGTGTCGGCTGGTGAATTGATTAACGGGGACTGGTTACGTAATCTGCTCACTGGGGATTTGTACCTGTGAAAAAATGCATAACTGGGAGATTTGGTAGATGAATGGAGATTTTTAATGTGATGAAGACTGTAACAATTAGTGGATTGTGAAATAAAATACCTGGGCGGACAGCGCAAAATTGCCGCTTTGCAGGAAGTGGACACGGTTTACCTGACCTCCGTGTGACTGCAAGGCAACGGCGCTTTGCCGTTCGTGAGCAGTTGTCATTTATGACAGGTCTCACAGTGGATACATGTAGTGCCCACTCTTGCCAGTGTGGAGGCGAGTTGCCACGCGATCGAAAGACACAAAGTGGGCGGGTGCCAAGATGCAACGTTTTATTCTCTTCAACATGACTACTTTTAGGCCCTTAACTAGATTAAAAAAAAACTTAAAACTACCCGATGCATCAATCCGCCTAGCAACTACGTGTCGCGAAAGCTGCGTAATACTCCACCTTGTGTAATACTGTAAAAGGGACTTTGTTCCAAGCGAATACCGCGTAATATTTCGTCGATGGCATGGATATCGCACATTGTGAGAATTGAAGTAATCGTATCGCCAATTTTAATTACGGCCGAAGCGCTCCATATTTGTTAACACGAAAGAAGTGCGTATTCAGTCGTCGTACTTGAATGATTGATCGCAGCCGAGTGAGGTTGGTTTGTAGCACGCCACTACCAGTATCTCAAAGCGATAACTTCGCAGTAGAATTGATTTTTTGAATTAAAACAAATTGAAAGGGTTTATTGGGCTCTGGCGTTTACAGTTAACTTCAAAGGCAGCAGGACGATGGGCTTGTCCAATTCCACCGCTATGTATCCATACAGCCAATGCACAATCCCGTAACTTTGCTTCATGCTCATGAACGTACTTGACAAAACCTGCTCCAACCTGGTGGGAAACTCTTAGGTGCTCGTCTTGCTTTCCAGCCCTCAATTAAGCTAATATGGGAAAGCTTAGAATTCTCGATTATGGAGGCCTACCAACTCGTGACGCGTTGCAGGCCAACCCAGTCGGTTACCAAGTTGGTAGTAACACCAACCCTGCCGGCATTCCCATCACTAGAAATTCGAAGGTACCGCGTAATCTCGAGCTGTGCTGGCTGCGATTTGAGCGCTACGCTCATTTGTATGGCTGGACAGGAGCGCTGTTCTATAAGACTGTACGTAATAGCTAACGAGGCGCACTCGCCATGTGTATTGGGTCCAATTAATTCTTAATCACAGAGTAATGGTTGCATATATTATAAAATCTTCCCCGATCAAGTCCTATATTAACTTAGTAGAGAGGCCATTTGGCAAGATAATGAAGGGATAGTAAGAAATTAAACATTATTTTGTATAAACAAGTACTTATAACGGTACCTCCTCACGTTATCGTCTGAATTTCTTCGCGTGCAGAATGCATTTAGGGAGAAGTATAATAGTTAGATATCGACAACACCAGACTCTCTCCATGCGATTGATAAATATTTGGACTACCGGGGCAATGGAGAAAGCTGTATCTAGCCCCCACAAAGCTCTGTTGAGTTTGGCATCACCCGCTCACAGCGTTTCTATTTCTTCATCTAGCGCTGCAGAATGTTGTCTTGAAGTTCCGCGTGGTAGGTTCATCGGCGGCGTTTATAGTTGTCTGTATGAAAGACACGTCTCCGAAGTGACCTCGTGGCATGTTGATATTTGATTCCTTTTGCTGCTGTTTTCCGTCGGCTCATCAGGTTATTTTCCCCCTCGACATCTAAAACCACTTCGGACGAATCTGTTCGCCCAAGGACGGCGTATTGATACAGAGCAAACAAACGCTCCTTTTTTTTAAGCCTTACGTGGCACAGCGGGTGTGGCAACCTGAGGGAAATTGGCCCACTTTCCCTCAATTAGACTGAAGGCCGACTCGTGTTTTATACATATATCATGACGTACATGATTACGCTGAGTCCATCAACCTGAGGTTTTGCCACTTCAACTTTGATCCAAATCTTGCCATTATCTATACATTTGGAAAAGGATTGTGAGGTATATTCTATACAATACAAACCTCTCATAACGTATATAAGGATCTGTTTGCTTCAGAAAGCTTGATTCTCGAGTGCAAACTCAAAACAGCTGGCGAGTTGTGTCGCATCTTGCCTTCAACGTGCCATTACCATTGGTCAGATTATGGTACAGACCGGCGTGCGACAGCCAAAATGTGTCCTTCCACCGGCCATCATCCGAGGAGCATTTGCCGAATTCCGATCAGTTGACAAGCATCGCTCGCCATGACCGCACAGTCGCTGCGAACGTCCTTGGGCAGCAACGGCCACACCGTCGGTGACACTTGCATTGATCTGTACGCGGAGCGGGTCATGATCCCTCGAATCTCGCTCTTCTCGCTGCTCACGGGGCTGTCCGTACTCGCGATTCTCTTTGTCCGGCACCGCCGGCGACGCACCCGCCAGTCGGCTAAACTGTTGCGTGAAAAAGTCGTTCTCGAGTCCTCGGAAGACCCGCACACCAGCCGCAAAAGGTGGTTCGCCTGCTTTCTGGCAACTACGGTGGCGTGGATCACCATCTTCCTCTGCACTTTTCACTCGTCCACTGCGAAGCCCACGTCCATGAGTGCAGCACAGGCACGACCTCGAACTGTCTTCAGCTTTACGACGACCCCACGGGGCATCGACGAGATGAAGCCGACGGTGGACGCACTGGTGAATCAGGAAGGCGACGGCTTCGACGCCGTGTACGTCATCGTTCCACGGACGTACCGAGACAAAGTGGTGGATATCCCCGCCTGGTTACTAGCCGACGCGTCGACGTTGAACCGAACCGAGTTCCGTGGCATCCCATTCGCTATCGGACTGAGTCCGTATCACCACAAACTGCGGCTGATCGTGCTGGACACGGACTTTGGACCGGCGAGTAAAGTACTGGGGACGCTGTTGGTAGAACAAGACCCCGAGACGATCATTGTATACGGCGACGACGACCGGATCTACCCGCCCCAACTGTGTGAACGGGCGCTGCACTATACGCACAAGTATCCGAACGACGCAATTGCCGTACTGGGTGGTTGGATATCGGCTGAGGACGGACTGTACTGTGGACGCAGCCTCGCAATCGGTGTCAATAGCGTGTCGTTCGTAGGAGGAGCAGGTGGTGTTGCCGTGAAGCGGAAGTTTTTCGGAATGGAGGAGGCAACTATGCCAGCATTCGAGGTGGCAAATATGTCCAAGGCGTGTTTTCTGGGTGACGATTACTATCTGTCGCACTTGCTGAGCCGTAACGGGGTGCGTCGCCGGCTTGTGGCTGATAGTTGCTGGAACATCGAGACGCTCACGGAATCGTTCTCGCACGGTGGACTATCGTACGCGCCGTCGGAACACCCAGGGGGAGCCAATGTAGAGCACTACCAGCAGTGCATCCGCGAACTTGGCAAGGACCAAGATCTCTCTCGAGACGGTGAGTTCGGATCGGTCTGCATGTTCCTGTTTTCTCGCACGTGGGGAGCGCTTCGAGGGTTGAGAAATCTCTACTTTGGTGGTGAATTCGTGTCGTGCTGACGGAGTCAAATGCGCGCGCGTGTACAATTAGCAGTAGTTTTCACAGGGATAAAGTCAAAGAAGTTAGTTTTAACAAATAATATAAGCCACGACGCTGGGATCATACGAGGATAACTAGAAATTGTGACCTCGATTTCGTGGTGCCCAATTTCAGGTCCAACCGAATGCCACCTGTCCACTTTGCAATTTGCAGCAAACCAGCGTGGCGAGTTTGCGGCAGCACATCAATGAGTATCCGCTTTGTGGCATTTGTACTATTGCCAATCGTCGTGGCTGCTTTTAGTGTGAACTCTACGAATGCGATGGAGGGCGAACTTCGACTTTATAAGGAGCCGAGTTTCAAGAGACTTCGGTTGCTCGTCAAGATTTCGGAGGGAAATCTCTGCTATGACATGGCGTGTGATGGTGTCGGCAATGTTATCTCGTCGGCTAGATGGACAGGGCTTCCAACTACGGGGTCAGCGTTCACCGATGGTCACGTGAAAATCGCCTTCTACGATGGTAAAAACTGCACCGGTAAAGCAACGGTGCTGAACACGAACGTTGGGGAAATCTCAAACTTCGCGCAGTCCGGCATGGACAACGCCACCACGTCTATCGCGGTGCTTGAAACGTCGAACAAGATGCAACACGCAACGAAGAATCTCTGCCAGTGGTAACTTTATTTTTTGAATAAGACTTTTGCAAAAGGTGACATATAAAATCAAACATTTTACTTTGATCTTCGCTACAATGTGAACACTTTGGGAGTTCATGCAGCCATACTGTGTCGGATAGCTTCTAGAGCTTGGCGACGCGCTAAATTCTCCCGGCGCTTGGATAAATATGCCGAGGTCTTCTCATAGTCCAGGTATCGCGGATTGATATTAGTCTTCCGTTGGAGACGTAGCTTTTTCACTGTCTTCTTTGTCACGTACTCATTCGCACGTTGTCCTTCAGCAGTATGCTGGGATTGCTTCGGTGTCTTAAATTCAATCTTCTTGATCGGTGTAACAATTCGAGGAGTCCAGGTCAGCTTGCTGCTCGTAGTCAACTCGGTATAGCGACGAGCAGCAAACTGCAGTCGATCGGCCGCATAAGCCTCAAAAAGCGATGATGTTACAAAGCTTACTGCGTGAAGTGGTGCTTGGACGAGACCCACAAAGCGCCTACGACGTTCATGAACGGCTGAAAAAGACCACGTTGCTGTAACTTGCTGTAGGGTGGACCCCCAGTCAACTTGTCGATAGGCAGTGATCGTCAAAGTGAGATAAACGCGAACGCCATCGACCGTGGAGACGAACCGCACGTGACTAGTGCCAGTAGCAGATTGAGAGCTTATACCATGAACGATTAGTACTTGTTCGGCATCAGTATCTTCGTGATCGGGTCGGGACACGACGTCTGGAGGACTGCTGACACAGAAATGTTAGTGAGAACCCCGAAATATCCCGGACGCAGTCCGGCGCAGTATGACACAAACCGAAGCAGCCAGGATATTGTCTGGAGGATGGCGGAAGCCATAATCCGGAGCGACGTGCACATGGTCATGATGCCTTTCCTGGAAACCTTGTTTGACATAACCTATGTAAATTTATACCGAAAGGACGCGACTGTGAAAATTGATATAGTTGACAGTGCAATCACTGTTTAGTTTGGCACTTCAGCGTTCAGGTTCTTCCACGCAAAACTGGCAAAGTACTCTTTGGACTTGAAAGTTCTAGTGACGAAATTGCCGTACACCACACCGCCGAAGAAAGGAAGCTGGGACACACCGCCGTTCGGACCGAGAGGGACCATGGCCGGCACCACCTCTACCTTGGGAAAATCCTTGCTGACATTGTCCTGCGTCTTACGAGCCACAAGCGCCAGCTCGTTTCCGAGGTGCGTACCTTGCTGACTGGCGAACAACATGTGCTTGGGCGCAGAGTTGTTGTTCGCGTCACCCAACGCGTAGATGTTGAAATACCGCGCATTTTCTAGCTGCAGCTTGCTGTTCACCTTGATCAAACCCTGCGGAGTCACCAGCCCGGCATCAAGATTCTTGATCAGCTCCGTCGTGGGGCTGAATCCTCCACACAACAACTGGATGTCCGATTCTAGCACCCTTCCCTTGTCCGTGCGCAGTGTACGACGCTCGAAGCTGTTACCGTTCAGACGCTCCGTCAGCCGCTCACCCAGCACAACGTTCACGTCCAGACGCTTGAGAAACTTCAAGAGTCGAGCACGAAACTTCTCGCGCACGTTGTCTGTGCCGAGTAGTTTGTCCTTGCTCTCAATGATCGTCACCGTCTTGTTAGGAAACTTGGCCTTGATCTCGCCAGCCACTCCAGCACCGGTAGCACCGCCACCAACAATGAGAATACTGCTGGCATTTTCGATCTGCTGACGCAACTCCGCCATCATTTTCTCCGTCGTAGAGCGTTTGAAGTCGCTCTTGGGCTGTTTAAGGGGAACCGTGTACGTACTGCCCGTAGCCATGACCAGGTAGTCGTAGGCCAGACGCTTCACTTGACCAGCCAGAATTTCGTCGTCGTCGTCGATAGGTGTGTACTCCACTTCGTTGCCAGACACGATACGAGTCACGATTGCGCGCTGTATCTTGACGAAGGATCTGGCCTCTGCAGGGATGGCGTTGTCATACGGCACGAACAGCTTCTTGGTGTAACCGGCATCTACGACTGCACGCGGCGTGCCGACGGCATGGTAGTAGTACTTGCTCTTCTCGAAAACAACCACCTCCGTGCCGTCATTGACGGTGAGATTCTTGGCTAGTGCCTGAGCCGCTGAAATACCGGCAGGACCTCCTCCAACGATGATAATACGAGTCATGATTGCGAAGACGTGAAAGTTATAGAGAGCTTGAAGGTTTGTTGTGGTGCACCGAGAAGGTTTGAGAATGAAAAGACTGCTGCCAGTGAAAATGTTCTCCGATTCCTCGTCGCCGTAAATCGATTTACTAATCACAACGACTCGCCTTACGCAATCTTGAGCTGGGCAACGATCTGTACATTTATGCTAGCGACTTATTGCCGTCATCACCGCAAGCGAACAGCACAACGACTTGGTTGTCAAAGAAAGCAATAGCAGTAGGATGCACTGCTTCTACATAAAAAGTCAATTTGCAGCAGCTATTTGTAACCTGGGAAGTCAACGTAGAGTAAACGGGATATGCATTCTGGTTGCTTCTACATGTATTACCGGTGCACTTCTGCAAAGGACGCATAGTGAAACTATAAGCCGCTTATTTCTTGAATGATGTACCAATCACAACACATTTACCTTCAAACTCGAGCGTTTTGTTGTCCTATTAAACATAGTGCCAACGAGGCCAAAGGTAGGGCTAAAGCTTGCTTTTTGAAGTATTTGAGATTATTTGCAACCCCGTTCCGTCACGGAATCCGTGGGCGAGTAAAATCAATAGGTATTGTACAGAGAGGACTGTACATCTGGTGAGGTTTCTCATAGATTATGTGTTTTCTTACGCTCAAATCCAGTCGTAATCGGCAATTTGCCAGGTTTTTCGTCAATGGTTGCTGCATCAAAGCGCAACTAAGACCAGCGGCCATTTAGCCGGCTCACTTGTAAGTTCCAAAGTGTACTTCTCTAGAAATGCTTTGAATTAATACATACCGTTCATTGTCGCAGGCATTGCTCCAACGACGATACGGTAGTGCTTGTTTAAGAGAAGAGCAAGTAAAACTACCACCCCGATCCAGCCTCCTTTCTTCGGAGACTTGATATGCGCTAACTTTGTCGCTAGAACTTCAAGTCGAAAGCGCACTTTGTGAATGCTGAAGTACCAAGGTCTTCATACCAAACAATATTTTCATTTTCACAAAAGCTTCGTTTCGTTATAGATTATTACAGTTTAATCCTTCGGGAAATACTTATGAGCACTTGTGAAGTGATGAACTGCTCGTTATACGTATCACCACCCACTATGCAAGCTTTGCTACGCCCAAGTGAGCAAGATCACCCCACGAAATGGTAGTCGGGTACACAAGTTCTGCTGTCTGCTTGACTCCTCCATCCTCCAGGATCGAATACACATAGATATTCGTGAAGCGGACGCGAGTGATCTTCATGACCAGAAGGGACAACATATCCTCCGTTGCCACCAGGAACTTGTTGTTGGCGATAAGGTACCCGTTACCGTAGACCGCGTCGATAGAGGCATAGATTTTGTTGTCTTGAACGAGATAGTTATCGTAGCCTGAGATCACCCCATACCGTTTACTTAACGCAGATCCCGTGGCTGTCTCAAACGAGGTGAGCTGTTTCACTTCACTATTCATGGATTTCCGTTCAGCAGCGTACATCTTTGCTTTGCCTCCTCTTTTGCTCTGCACGCGTCGGAAATACTTTCGAGCACACATGTAGACCACGAGCCACACCATCGTTGCAAACATGGCAATCACAGTGCATATAACAACAACCTTACGGTCCGTTTCGATGCCATGCACAGTCCAAAATTTCATAGGGGACAATTTAGCGAGGAACGGACTCACCGTAATGAGTCCGCTCCAGTAATCCGTCTCTGCGAAGTCCACGATAATTGTTCTTAAAGTGGCCGACGCATCCACGAGTTCAACACGGTACGTGAAACTGCACTCAAACGCAGCGAACGCCACCACCGGGTCGATTCTTTCGCGAAAAACGTAACTTAACACACTCGAAATATTTAAGAAGAAAGTCAACAAATCGGCGTGAACCAGTTCCGGACGGTAGTGGATGGATCGTCGATCTCCGAGCTCGTTCCCAATAGCTAAACAGAATTCCGTAAGCGTCCAGTATCCGTTAAGATGGTTAGATGCAAAGATTAAAACTCCACGGTAAAGTAACGAGTTGGAAATGGTAGCAAAGGCGTCCCCCACCCAGAAACTTCCCGCACGGAATCGATGATAAACCACGAAGAACAGAACACTGAGATCAAATAGGATAATGACAGCGAAGATGCCATGAATACTGTGTGTCCAGGCCCACGAATCACGTAGAGAAGCCGAAGAATGCCATTCCCAATTCCTCAATTCGGACACTGGATCTTTGGGGAGATTCCAAACCACCGTCTCAATATTCGATTGAGCGATGGAATCATCGATGTAGCTGCCAAAGCGGTAAGCTGTACGCACCTCCTTCACGGTATCAATACTGTTTGGCGGGGGGAAATTCTTAAACACCCAATAGTTTTCACTATCGGTAGTTAGCAACTCGCTGCTAGTGATGTGCGGTTCGGATTCGTACGGATAGTTGAAGGCAATGGCAAAGCTATGATTCACGTCGGCGGCTTGCATGTCGTTGATAGGAGCGACTGTAACGAGTAAAGCAGCCCCACTCTGGTACTGTTGAACCACTTGGAAGTCCTGGGTAGATATTAAAGCTGATACCAAGACCGACTCGGTAATTTTACTCTTCTGTCGAGTTAAAAAATACATGCGCAATTGTGTCACGGATTCGTCGGATGAAACTAGTAAATCGAACGTACAGTCAACAACAGGAGCGATTAATTCGAGGTCTGAAATGTACGCGAGATCATCCACCGCGTGTTTCTGAAGTGAATTATACAGGAACCGCATGAATGTATCGCCATAAACCGTAGTATCGAAATCATCGCTTGCGGTACACGAGGTAAAAGAGTGAGTACTGTTTGTCAAGAGGTAAATTGAATCGTTCCGTAAAGTTGTCGATCCTTTCAGCACATTTTGAACTAATGGACTGTCGGTGATGGCTCCTTCTCCAGCGTAGTCGACAATGAGCGTGGACTCATGTACCGTGATTCCCATGTCTTTTGTCTCCAAGCCACGCAACACCGAAACGGAAGCCAGGAATGCTTGGATCGAGATGGACACGTACCACAGCGCGATGAAGAACACCACCACGCGATGCAGAAGGCGAATGTATTCGACATTGGCTGCGCCCATGTTGCTACACTAGAGCGTCGTGGCTTCCCCACAACTCGAATAGTTTCGCGCGGCTGTTGCTGGCAATTTATTTTAGTAGAGTGTTCCGCTCTGGTAAATGATGGGAACACCCGCCATTTAGTGATGGGGACTTGATTGATTCTAAGAGACGACATGCAAGCTGGGTCAATGTCACGTACATTTTCATTCTAGCTTTCGGCGGTTGATGTCGTCACACAGCAAGCCTCATTGCAGCGGTGTGGAGCAAAGCAAACGTATCTATCAGGTTCGTTATAGTGAACAAGCGTTGGGATTATACAACCTCTGACTGGAGCGTCTAATTTGTTTTCATAAAAGAGTGACAGATTCATTCCGGCACGATCCGCTATGGACTTGGACTATTGCCACATGATGACAGATCTAAAGCTCGACGATGCTCCAGTACACAGCCGAACTGCCAATACGTACAAGGAGCTTCTAGATGCCACTTTTCTGCCTCGTAGTGCCTCAATCTTCCAACCAAGACCACTCCTCGCCATCCGAGACTCGGCAACTCGCACTACCTTCAATATGGACAACTTTGCTCGCTTCCATTCACCAGCTCAACGTACAAACAATTCTTCATCCAATCTCCCGTCGGTGCCTGTACATATCCTAGACGCCCCCGATTTTCGCGATGATTTTTACCTGAATCTTATGGACTGGGGCGAAAAAAACATCCTCGCAATCGGATTAAATCAGAACGTGTATTTGTACATACCCACGACCGAGGAGATCCAAACAATCCACGCTTGCACGAACCCAACCGACTACGTCACATCCGTGAAATGGTCGAGAAATGCAGGTATGACGTCTCACCTTGCGGTCGGAACTTTTCAATCTGAACTACAAATTTGGGACGTTGAAGCAATGAAACAAACACGATTGATACGTTCGCATAGAGCGCGTATCGGTTCGTTGGCTTGGAATAAAACACTAGCATCGGGGTCTCGAGACTCGACAGTTCACCTGACCGACGTCCGCTGTACTCAGTTCATCAGGAAGCTTGCTCATCGAGGAGAAGTGTGTGGCTTAGCGTGGTCTCCGGACGGTGAAATGTTGGCTTCGGGATGTACCAAGAATCAGTTGAGTATTTGGGACCACACTATGTTAAACTCAAGTGCGCGATCGATGCATAAGCATTGTGCTCCGGTACGAGCGTTGGCTTGGAGTCCGTGGCAACGTCTTGTCTTGGCTTCGGGTGGGGGAACAGCAGACGGCACGATCAAACTGTGGCGTACAACGACTGGGAAGTTAATGCGCTCTGTATCGACAGGGTCGCAGGTATGTGCGTTGGCTTGGTCCACTACAACTCGAGAGCTTTTGTCGGCGCATGGATACGGCTCAGATACACATGAAATCGCGCTGTGGAGATTTAAACAATTGGACAAAGTGCATGAACTCACGGGTCATAATGCGAGAGTTTTAAACATTGCCATCTCGCCTGACGGATCGACTGTTGTATCTGCTGGAGCGGACGAAACTCTGCGGTTCTGGAACATGTTTCCATCGAAAGCATCGAATACTCGCTGGAATGGAGAGTTCTTGAACTCTTGTATTCGCTGAATAAAACATGTTTAAATAACATAAAAATCTCACGTACATATATTTCGTATCAGCCCGAAAAGTCTGTTGATTTTTTGCCCAAAGAGAAGGCACCTCATCAAGTTGTAGCTTGGCGCTGATAATGTACACACGTTGCTGGATTAATGCCGCAGTGTTTGGGCTTTTTGAACTGTTTTAAGTGCCTTGTACGTGGACTTCTCCGCCGTTCTGGGGTCCAATCGACGGGTTTTGTCGAATCTGGTAGGGGGTTATGTCATTTTCTTGATCTGGTAACTTCTATTCAACGCGCTGCTCCGGGATCCGCTCAAAGCGCCGGTTATTGGAGGCGCCACAGCTCATATTCTTGGGTGGGCCAATGTGGATGGAGCCTCGGTAGCTGCCCCCAGCGAATGTATTCTGAGGCATCCCCATCTGTGCCCGTTGTTCACGGGTACAGATGTAATGCCCAGCCAGTCCGTCGGCCGGGATCAAGTAACCCAGCGTAACCGTACGACGCGGTCCTTCGCGTACCGACGGGAGGCCTTCGACTGGCAATACCGGGTCGATCTGGAAGCTCTCGTCGTTAGAAATGAGAACCAACTCGATGTTAAACATACTCGCAACAGCATACAATTCAGCTGTGGTGGCCTGTTCATCCGGAGTGTCCCGGAACGTCTCGTATCGTTCCCGAACGTCTTCTTCGTCCTGCATTAAGAAGCCCGCCAGTTCTTTGACATGTTCCAGCGCGTATTCCATCAATTTAACCCTCAAAAACTGCGCTGCGGCCACTCGTCGAGGCGCCATGCCGTCTGCGGCGCCTACATTGACCACAGTCATACTGGCGGGATAGTCTCGAAGACACTGCAATGGGTACATCTCGTACACGATGCAGTGTAGTAAACACGAGCCATCCGGAGGCATTCCGACGCCTACGAGGCCCGTTTGCACCAGTTGATCCTCCATTTTGGCTCGCTGCATATCCAATTCAGGTGTGATGACATCAGGCGCCGTCATGGACATCATAGAACCTCTAGAGAGCGACGCCAGGGACGCACGACCTGTAGAATCCGATACAGTGGACGAGGCCGGGAACCAGCTCCCTCGAGACGATCCTGGCCCAATGGAGCCTGCAAATGACCCGCGACTACTCGAAAAGGACGTGCGACCTACATTTTGAGGCGCTGTGTGTCTGGCGAAGCTCTGACTGCCTACAAAACCCGTCCCGGACCAGCGATAGTCGCTGGCATTGGACGCGAAGGAAGAGACCGTGGAACTGCTGGAAACGGAGCGGAAATCGTCGTCGTCGTCGCCCATAACACTGGCCGTGGCCTGTACCACTGCGGGGGACGCCAAAATGGACGAGGAAGGGCGAAGACTCGAGTCCTGCTGGTCGTACTCGGCGTTGGCGCCGAATCCCGAGTTAAAACCCACGAAACTCTTGAGTGTTTGGCTGCTTACGGCAGCCAAATGGAAGGCTACGAGCTGCGGCTTGTGTGTCACCACGTTCATGTAATTATCGAGTTCTCTGGCTCTGGCGCCGAGGAATTCCGGGCTTTTATCCACTCGGAAGAGCGCTCGACGACGATATAAGGGCGGGAACTTGACGCCCTTCATGAGCGCGGCACTGCGCTTACGTAGCTGCTCGTCGAGCTTGCGGAAGGCCGAGAAACTGCGCCAAATGTGCCAACTGGTGCGCCCTGTGGCGTGTGCGCGGGACGAGTAGAAGGACAGCTGGACGACCACTTTGTACTCGGCCTTCTTGCTGCTCAGACGGTAGTCTTCCACGCTCACAGAGCACGTGTAGTCGCCCTGGATGTCGTCGGGCGTCATGGTCAAGTAGGCCATGAGGAGAGAGGAACGAGGGGACGGGACGGAGACTGACGGACGTCCAGGGAGCTGGACGAACTCTCTCTGACTTGACGACGATCGCAAGACGCGCTTATCCGTTTCGACTCGATACAACGACTGGCAGGTTTTCAGCCTATCCCTGACCAGATACGAAGTTCCACCGTCCGGACGTACCACTTTGATGGATGTACCACGAAAAGGGTACGTGGAGAAGCGGAATTTTCTCCAAATAGTTGAAGTTGGCAACCAATCGCCTGGCTAAAAAATAGTTTTGTTGCGAAAAGTTTTGAACTGGAATTAAGTCTGGATGTAGGTTTCCAGTTAAAAATTGTGGTTGTTGCGAAAATTTTGAACTGGAATCAAGTCTGGATGCATGTTTCCAGCGGGCTCCGTTAACTTGTAAACGGCGAAGAAATGGATTTCTAAATCCAATGAAGTGCTATCCAGTACAACTTGATCGACGTTACGTCTTGAGCGGGGTGGCTTCAGGCCACTTGACGCTAACGAGACAAGTCTTGTCGACCACATCGTACAAATAGCTACGTTTTGTCTTACAGGAGACGTCTCTATCTAGCATCGCAGCTGCGGGGTAGCGTCAGATGCAAGATTCTAGGTGCACACCTCTTCACCACCGAATCGCAAATTTTGACATTCGAATGCGGTCTCGGCTCATCGTCCGAGATCTCGCTGCTAGAGGTTTATGAGGTGTTTGGCTGTCGTCTAGCGAGCTGCGATACAAATCAACACTGGCATCTTGTGTGGAGTCAGCGATATCAGCGTCGCGATATCAGTGTGGCGAAATCAGCGTAGCGGCGACAAGAAACACTGTCAATTCGTTAGGTTGCACTTTATGTACACCACACAAACTGTATCATTCTGGTTTAACACTAGACCATTCACTCGTAATAATGGAGACCGAGGCCAAGGCGCTGCTTGAGGAGCTCCGGGCGGCGCAGGAAGAGCACGAGCGTGCTCTTGTAGCTGCAAACCAAGTGCGCAACAGGCTCGACCGTGCACGAAAGGAATATGAAGAAGCTCGAGCTGCAGAAAAGGCCAGCGAGGACGAATTGGCAAAGGCAGCAGAGGCTCTGGCGTGTGGTCTCCAGAATCTCGAAGTGGACAGCGATACAGCAGAGCTGAATGCTACAGTGCCTCCGACAGTGGACTCTCTAGTGGAGTACCATGCAAACATCGGCTGTTACCAGTGCTATCTCTTCTTAGACCGCCACATACAGAGCAACAAACAAGAGGGGACCTTCGATGTGGCAAAACTCCTCGTTCGTGTAGAATTTCCACGCGTAGAGCTTACATTCCAAAGCCAGGGTGACAAGGAAGACGTATTAGTTATCTGGTGGACGGAAATTGAGCGGAATGTGGACGTCTCGCAGTGCGTATTGGAAGATAAGGACGATCACTGGTATCTGCGACTCCCCATCCGTCCAAGTGACAAGCAACCGCTGGGAGGGTTCTCCTCATTCACCCAAGTATCTAACATTGAGTTGCAATCGGATAGCTACACGTCGGTGTGTTGTCGAAACTGCAACGCACAGTTACTTGGAACCACTAGGATCGAGAAGGTGCTACCGTTACCGTCTGCTAATTGGATGGATATGTTTGACTTCTGGGGCGCTGGCATCGGAGCTTTCGAGCACATTCCTCGTGATGATATTCATGCTCAAAAGCACCGAGTGCTCGTCGGAGAGTCATACGTGCTGTTACACGCTAGTGACTTTTTGACGGATGCAACGGTTGGAGTCTGTGAGGACGCTGCTGTTGAATCTAAAGAGGAGCGCGAGTGGATGCCGCTGACCTGTGCTGCGTGTTCGGAACGTGTTGGTTTGTCCAATGTAGAGCAGCCAGATACAATTCGTCTTCACAAGCACTTGGTCATTGCTGGAAAGCACCTGAAATCCTCTATTGACGACGACAATGTGTTTGCCAAGTACACGATCGACAGTATCCTCAGTGCCAAATTGTTGGAAATGGCGGATGCAGATGGAAAATTTCGGTTCATTTTGACGTCGAGTGATGATCATGATCACGAATTTCAGAAATGCAGTCATTCTCCTGCCACTGGAGATGGATCAGAGTTGCTACTGCAATTGCTTAGCTGGGAGACGATGATCAAGCAACAGGATGCGACTAAATTCCGTCGCGTTCTGAAGGTTCTGTACGGTCCTCCTCAGTCGATGCCCGCGATTCCCGGACTCTTGCCTTCACAGGAAGTGGCACTGCCTCCAGCCATGTACTCTGCCATCGCCAAGCGACTTGAAACCAGCTCGACGCTGTTACCCTCGTCATTGCGGACATTTAACCGGATGAATGTTGGTTATTTGTTCGCATGACCATCATTCTGACATGTAAATAAAAAATCAATGAAAAAAAAAAAAAGAAAAAACTATTTGTATTATTCTCTCAGAGAGCAATACCGCTTACTTGGTAGGTGCCCAGTAGTCCATGATGTCCAGGGCCACTTCGCAGCTCTCACGCACGACCTGGACGTCGTCCTTGAGGTATTGTTTCAGAATCTCCTCGCATTCCGTACTGCCAATCGCCCCCAGAGCCTCCGCAGCTTCGTGACGCACCATGCGGTGCTCAGTCTCATCGAGCAGCACCTTCTTGAGTGCCGGTACGAGCACAGGGTTCTCCATCTGACCCATGACGTAGGCCACTTCGTGCTTAAACAGCGCGTTCGGGTCATTAAAAGCCTCAGCCAAAGCGAGCGCCGCCTCCTCCGTATTGCGGTTGCGCAGCGAGAACATCGCACGGTATCTAGCGAACATGTCGCCATTGGGATCTAGCAGAATCTTGCGGAGTTCGGCAGTAGGCACGTCCTTGCCAGCGGCCGGAGCCGGGTCCTCGGATAGGTACGGGTTACGGTCCACCTCTCCCTCGACGATCTCGCCCTTGGCTTTGGCCAGTTTGTACTTGACCAGAGTGACGGCCAATTTGCACGTGTCTGAGACCTCCGGGGCCGGATCAGCGCTGTATTTCTCGAGCACAGGCAGTGACTGGGCCGCGCCGATGGCACCCAGAGCCTCCGCTGCCTCGTGACGCACCATGCCGTCGTCCGCCTCGTCCGCCAGCACCTGCTGCAGCGTCTCGCAGGCCTCTTCCATCTGGAATTGACCGATCACGTAGGCCAGTTCGTGACGCATAAGCTCCGAGTCCTTGCGGTTAAGTAGTGCCGTCAGCAGAACCTGCAGATCCTCGAGGCCGCCGCGCGAACGCAAGTAGAAGATGGCGCGCGTGCGCTTGCCCGTGGGCTCCGACAGGTCCAATAGCGCATCACGAAGCTGCTCGAAGCTCGGCGTCGTGTCTACCACGGTGGCGATGGTCTCGGTTGCGGACGAGTGCGACGGCATTGAGGTTGGCAAGTCTGGGAATGGCTACGTCAGTGACTGCCAGTCAAAGTAGTGAAAGAGAAATGCTGGAGCCTAGCCCTATAAGTGGTATTTTAAGTTAAAGTAAAGTGCCTGTAGCCAATAGAAATGAAGATGACTGCGGATTGGTGGAGACTCGAGCCAAGTTGAAGTGGACGAAGGCAGATCTTGTTGCCTTCAGTGTTTTATTGTTGCTTCTTCCTTTTGCCATGGATATGAGCAGTTCGAGTCTGAGAGTGTCGATTCATTTGGTTGCACAGAGTCTCTTTTAGGATCATTCAAACCCTATCAAATCATGCTCAAATTTTGTAGTATGATAGACGACACCCGAGCTTTAGTAGCTGTTGACTCAAGGACAGAGTGGTTGTGTTTCATCATGAAGGAAAGGTTTCCTGAAACCAGTGCCAGGAGCTCGAGATAGTCAATGCATCTGCACCGAAACGCCCGCAGCGAAAATCGACAATGAGCAACAAATCCGCGAATCGGTAGGTGTGCATAACGCAGAAGTTCTGCGGCAGAATAGAATTTATGGGTGCAACAGCAACATCCATCTCCGAAAACTGTGGTTAGTGGCCAGCGATCCATTTCTTCGGCATCTAATAGCGTCGTTTTGCCGCAATCCAGGTCGAAAGTATGGTGTCCTGAGAGCATCACCACAAACCTTGTAAAAAAAATCCGTGTAGACCCATGATAGGGAATAAAACTACAACCAACAAAATACGTACAATCTGACATTCGAGTTGAAAACTGGCAGACGACCGGGAAGCGCAGGTGAGTGGCACTTACATGTATCACGTTGGTCGCAGTTGCATGGCTCCGAGCCAACACCAAGACACTTGCACGCGAGTCATCATGCCACCTCAGTTTCTCACTGTATCTCTCCCACCGAAACAGAGAGAAGAACACCCAACGAGGAGCTCAAAAAGCCTTCTCGCCGTTAGGTTTATCAGATACCGTTGGCCCACACCAGCAGATTGCAAGATGCAGCTCTTCATCCGCTCGGTTCGTCCGCTGCAGTGCCTAACTCCGCATCTTAGGGCTAATGTACAACGACTTCAATGCATACAGGACGCAGGACGGACGCTGACGGTCGCGATAGCAAACCCACGGGCCAAAGTACAGGAACTACTGACGCTCGTGGAGGCCAAGCAGCAAGGACTTTTCACTCAGGGGTATCTTAACTACGGAGGCGTGCCGCTGCGTGCGTCGCGGTCACTAACAGACTACGGGATCCAGAACCACGCTACGCTGGACTTGTCGCGACGTCTACACGGCGGCTGCTTCGGCTTCTCCATCCTGTTGTGGATCCTTATCTTCATCTGCTGTCTCATCAGCGTCTGCACGTGTGGACTGTCATTACCGGTGGCGCTGTGTCTACTGCCACCTGCTCTTCTCCTGCCGCTCTGCTGTCTATAACTGGGTGTACCAAGAAGATGTATAGACAGCTTTTGCTTTAGACACGGCAGGATCCATTCGTCTACATGTAAGAACTGCGTCAAGCACGACAAGAAAGTAGCAACAGTTTTCGCGTATCAACAGCAGATATCTATCAACCAAACTGGCAAAAACAAACTCAAAAATCAATAAAAAGTCACGTCTTCGTCTTCAAGTCGCATCCACAGAGCTTAACTGCAGTCGTCAGCTTGAGTCTCCTATATCTCAGCCGCCAATGCTCCTTGATCGGTCGGAAAGCCTGCAGTGTATAGCCCGTGAGCATGTCTGTAGCTGTCTACTTGCGCGGTCCTGTGCGTCTGCGGCCCTGTGACTTGCCGGTCTTTTTCTTCTTGCTGTCCTCGTTCTTCTTGCTCAGCGCCTGCACTTTGCTCAGCAGCGGCGAGTTCTTGAGAATATCCGGCAGGATCACAAGCTTAATGTGCGAGCCGCGCACATACACGAGCTCGAGTTTGCTCTTCTGGCCGTCGCGTTGCGTGAGCACCACGTCGCTCAGCTGGCAGTTCATGCTGTCCTCGCTCTCCACCAGGTGGCCACGGTACACCTCGCCGTTCTTGAGCTCGATGGTCACGGTGCGGCCCTCGCCCTCATGTAGCAGCGAGATCGGCACCCCCACAGTCTTGGACATGGTGACGGCGTAGCTGCTGGCGGCTGGAGCTTGGGTAGTGGTTTCTATTGCAGATAGAAACGTTAGAAATGGAGACAATGACATAGTTTCGGTTTAGTGACATATATTAAGAAGTCGATCTGTTAGTGCAACATTACACATGATTGAAGTTGTTATGTTGCGGCAACCGAACGTTCAACTTCTTCTTGTTTTTGAGCGTATGCTACATTCGTGTTGCAAGTAGGAGGACTATTATGTCCTAGGAGAGCACACATTGGCGCCCAACAAACACTCGTGACGGCGTTGTAATAGTTGTTGCGTGAAAATTTCCAGCGTCTCTCGTTCTCGCTTGAGAGCTTCGCGTATACGACGTACTGGTACTCGGGATTCATCAACTAACTGCGTGAGTTCTGGTGTTTCCTCCTTGCTATCCTCTTCATCATCTTCTTCTTCTTTGACTTTCTCCATTCCGTCATCGTCTCCGCTGTTCCGTGACATTGTACTCTTACTCACGATCGACGTTCCTTGTTTTGCCTTCCACACGTTGTATCTAGCGCCTCCATGCAGACGTCGCGATAGAATCTGCCGTTGCCAAGATAGCGTTGTCGTCCAAATAGCTTCCGCTCTCGTCTCCATATCTTTCTCTTCCTCGTCGCTACTACAGCACAGCGACAGTGCTTTGATCAGAGGGACCCCATCTGACACCATGGCCTTGTTATCATCCACATTCTTGTCACTGGTACCATCAAAGTCTCGTAGCGAAGCACAAATCAGCTCTACAGGTTCACCTTGCTGAACACGCATCGCACGTAGAGTACCTAGAACAATGCGTGTATCCACAGAGTCTCGAATCTTCCAGTCATAGGAAGAGAACAAGCGGTTCACGTGCTTCAGCTCACATAACGGGAACTCCCTCGTGATCAACAGTGTGAATTGAGCTCGAGAAAGCGTGCATATTCCTAGCGCATTGAGTGCCCCCAGCTCTCTAGCCAACGCGAACAACTTCTCCATGTCTTGTAACACTGGTCGTCTGCACGGAGTTCGTCGCATAGCATCCAGAAGTCTAGCAAATGATCGCCAACGAAGTTTGAACCGCTTTTTATACAGCTCGCTGGACTCCTTGCTACGCTGCTTCTCAGGAGAATACCCTGGTGTCTGGACTATAGCTGAGACTTGAGTACGTCGGTGACGGAGCTGGGGATCAGCCTTCTGTTGTTCTCGATGATCAGCCAGCTCAGAGGTAGCCTCGAAGTGCAGTGTACGGCTTTGCCACTCGGTCATACTTCGTTGGTTTTGTATCTTCTCCTGGCGTGCAATTCTCTTCTCTTGTTTGTACAAAGTCTGTAATTTCTGCGTTGCTTTCTGTTGTAAAGCTTCTTGTATTTCTCTGTGTGGCTGGCAGAGTGGATTAACGAAATTCTGAGTGTTAGAAACCTCAACAGGAACTGCGATAGGAGACGACGGACATCGTGTCATTGTTACTCGAAGGCGAGAGCCACTAGGATGGAACGTCTCTGGAGGCCACAGCGAAGGTGAACCGCTAATTCCGGACACAAATTCATCAATCGGAGCCACTGAATGATTCGGAGAAAGCGGTTCCAGAGCGTCTTGAGACCGCCAACCATTAAGTTTTGCAGTGCCTCGAGCTCCGTATCGACGCAGCTTAGCATCAAGAGTGATGCCGGGTGGTAGTTGCTCCTTCAAAGATGCAGTGCGGCTGGAGCCGTACCATGGCTTGAGCTTAACAGGTGACATCCCTATCGAAATCGATGACTCGGTTGACAAACTTAGTTTAATGGGAGAAGTGAGTATCATCCCTATTCCAGCGACGGAGTCATCGTCACTGTTATCGCTCTCGTTGCCTTCTCCGATCACACTTCCAGCATACTCCGACTCTGTTTTTGATCGTTCTTGTATCTCAGAATCGTGGTTGGGCTTCGTTTCTTTAATACGTTGCAGCGATGCATCTCGTTTCGCTCGAGAACGTAGGAATCTATTACTTGTCGAAGTTGTGTATAACGCGGCTAATTGATGGGACCGCTGCAGTGCTCGTCCGCGAGTTTCTGGGTCGCCTTCACGCTCTTGTAAAGCTTCTTCCTCCGCGTCGCGCAACGCTCCTCGTAGGATATGCTCTACCCGTTCATTGACAGTCTCTTTCCGCCGTCTTCGTGCTGCAATCAATGCCAATGGATCAAGCGAACCCATTCCTGCGAGCTTGGTTCGTGGCTGAATCGGACTCAGAGCGAACGAAGACGCCATTGCTGACGCTTTATATTGAACGCAGACAGGTGTTTATGGTCATTTCCTCTTATTTTGGATTAGACGGCAATGCTATTTGAAGACCTCGGCTACGAATGAGTTAGTTCCATTGTCTATCGGTAAGCGATAGCGGGCTTGATATAAAACAACAATAGGGTGCTCGGTGGAAGGCAGTGTTTGCCATGAAGCGAGGGGGGGGGGGGGGGGGGGGGGTTGGGTACATACTCGGGCCAACACAATTGGAGAAGCATGTATTATAATACAACGAAGTGGGTCTTGCTAAGTTAAAGCAGGAGGCGGTAAAATGCGGACGTGGGACTTTGTTGAACTAATGCCTGTAGAACTGTTGATGCTTAAATTTGCCATAGAGATCTTGAATCCTTTCCAATTGATCCGATCATTTATTTTCTGATCAGGACATCAATAATAACGACATCGCAATTATCTGAGGAACGTCTCCATAAATTATGCATCGAAATTTTCAATAAGCTACGATTTTCGGGCTTGGCGTTGTTTAAGGCCACTAACGGCCCCCTAAGAGCAGTTGTTTGCTGACATTGCATCTTTCTCATAAACGCCAAAGATTTTCAATTTGATGAAGAATTTTCATGGTCTTGCACAGATTAAACCAGGAAAAACGACGGGGCGTAACATAATATTCTGGCTTAATTAATTTTGAAAGAGACTCATAGACTTAATGCAATCAATTCTGGACTGAGGCTACTGTACGAAGGAAACGTATTCGCGCATTCTTTTATATATATAAAAAGCCGTCACCATCTCTAAAGACTAGGTCGAAGCAAGATATGATCGTGATCAATGCAATGTGATCGTCGTAGAGTATATTAGAATTACAACTTACGTATAGTTCATGCTATTTCTACACATGGTTCAGTCGGTAATCCTAATATACACCTGCCGTTCGATGAAATCTACCTAAATTAGTCTAGATGCGTGCTCTTGGAGCGTGTTGTGTGACGGTTTAGCCACCACACAGCGAGTATATCTCTGGAACAAAGGGAGGGGGCGCCGCAGCGTCGAGACAACCCAGTAGTGAGTTGAAAGCTGACGAATCGGTCCTTTGATTGGTAGACGTACAGTAGTAGTACTGCGATGCTTAATCTGCTGGCTCTACTTGGGTAACGACAACTAAGAACACGAATCTGTAGTAGCATGTATGTTGAAAAGGATACCAATTGATAAATGAGTGGTTGACGGTGAAGTATTTGGGAGAATTTTGATCCTTCCCCCCACCTCATATGGTAGAATTTATTTTGGTTTGTATACAGTTCTGATCAGGTTGACGATCAGGACTTGTGATATGAAGTATGAACTGATCATTTTGTCATTGGAAGGAAGTTTTTGTATGGGAAGAAGCTGAATGCATTGGATGACTGTGCTAGTAGCTACCTGGCGTGGCCAACGTGGGGAAGAAGTTAAGTGCTTTGGAGGGTTGTGTTACTAGATACCTGGCACGACCTAAGTGGAGACTGGAGTGGAGTCGGAGGCGCGCAGAGAAAGCGCCGTAGCTTCGTCCACATCGCTGTCGATGTTGGTAGGAATATTGACGGGCTCTGGGAGTGGATCCGCTCGCGTGGAACTCTGTGGGCACGGGCGCTGGGCACGTCGCCAATTCGACGAACGTACTCGGCTGCTATCGTCTTGATGACGGTCGCAAATGTGGCCATGGAAGGATGCGGAGTAGGAAATCTACTGTTTAGCTCTCTACTGAAACGTTCGAGCGGGTTGTTGGTCCTCGCAACGAGCTCGTTGCCGAGACCAAATACGTTCCACACGTCAATCGAGTACTGCTCGAGCCACGTCCGCTCAAAATAGCCCCAAAATTCTTCCCATGTCGCTGTAAAGTACTCAGTTTTTCCTAAAATGCAGCGCTTCTTGATCTCTCGCTTGATCCACGTGATGCCTCTTTCTACTTGTTCATGGTCAATTACAGCCAGCGTGTCTAACACGCCGAGTGTCATCGCAATTAGATACTCCTCATCAGTTATTGCATAGCTTTTCATTGCACGACGGAGTGCCTGTGTAGTGGGCTTGCTACGTGCCCA